CATATCGGGAGACGATGTTCAATCAATTGTTACGCATAATCCAAGGAAACGTAAAAAAAAGGCTGGAACGTGACACCTGTCATTGAATATAAATGACGCTTCGCAATGCATATATTCTATTGGTCATACCGCTGAGGAATGGTATCTTAGAAAATAAACGAAATAAATGATGCGATAGGGGCGGAGCAGGTGTCCGCCACGGATAGCGCACACGTCTACGACCCGCATCAAGCCATCCGCCGCACAACGAGGTATTCGCACGATCTGGGTGCCCAAGGGTCGATTTTCAAAATTTCACCGAAACCGAACAAGTTTCGCTGCTGGGATAGCTGAATATCCAAGGAGCAGTATCCTACAAATCTTTTCCTCCTCGAAGCACTCGAAACGTGAACTATCCCCGAAGTTAGACACTTACGCGTTTTACACCGAAAATTTCCCGCGAGATTTTCCATATAAAAACAATCGAGAATATAGGTATTTGACGATCTAAATGCGATCAGACCGCCTCGCTTGGGATTATCCTGCAAAGTGATCGATGAACATGATATAGTATAGTAAAGGAGTAATTAATGTCTCATCGTAAAAGAACATTTTCCCAAAAGTTCCGTTCTAACATTGAAGTACAGCAAGAGAAAGAAACCTTCAGTTTTGGATCACTATTTTGCAAGCATAGTATTGAAGTAAACTGTACAACAAGGAGTTAATAATTCCACAATTTCCGTCGATCGACCGATGATTCCAAGCAGTAAAGGACAAAGGGATGATTCCGAATGACAATCGACCCCATGCGCGCGCGCGCCTGCGAGTGTGAACGTGTATAGATCCGCTTGCACACGTTCAGCCGGGCTCTGGCAAGCGGCGCGTACGCACACCTCCGCACGTAGGATGGACGCGGAAGCGGTGACCCTGCCTGACCGAGACAGTCGCGATCACCAAGTCGGTCGTATACTAGAGCTGTTACTTACTTATGGGACACCCGGGTGGTCGGGTTTACCCATGAGATGCACGGTTAAACAGAAGTTTCCCGGATATCTCATAATATCTATCATTTCTTGATCAGTTAGACACCTGGACAGCCGATAAGTTTCATCCGAGTATATACCTATATACTCCGATCATGTTACTCGGATCTCTACGTGACTTATGTTTTCCAATAAACAATAATTCCTATGAAATAGATACTTTCAGTGAAATGTTTTTATTTTCGTACATAACTGTTAACCCTTAACGGTCGTATGGCATGTGTGAGATGGCAAGACCGGTCATGTCGAAACTCATACATTTGTAATGCTTCATAAAATAAATCATTTCTAACAAAAATGTTACAGTACTGAATATTTTTCACATATTTGCTGACAACAACTATAACTCTGAGAATCATGTATATAAAGCTAGCCTCCGATAAGGGTTAATAAATCTACATTCTCTGATAGCAAGCTCGTCCTTTTTGGAAGTAACTCTAGCCCCGATTGTCTTATAAGGTACTTAGGTATATAGTCAAGTACATACTCGGATGTCCCATGAAATACTCAGGTAATTTCGCTCTACCCGGGTGCACGAGTATGTCACATATCCAGTTAAGGGTATTAGCTCTATCGTATGCGCTCCGCGTACCATTTATCTGTTGTTTTACAACCGGGAACGATAAGCGGAGCCGTGGAAGCTAGGCCAATGGTTTCCGTCGGACACGGGCCGCCATTTCGTTTCGGGGTTGCGCCACGATTCCGAGGCCAGAGGTTTATGAACTCCTCGGCTAGGCAAAGCCCGGACGAAAACCGCTGCCGCGGAACGCGACAGGATTTCGACGCAATATTGCGCCGGCTAATGCTCATCTGTCGTAACAGCGGCTGGTTCTTGTGCACGTGGCCTGTTCCATTTGGCCGACGGAGGATAAGAGCAGGCAAATATAGTCACCTTGCGTGGTTGTCAAGATCGATGATTCAGAGGGTGGTCTGATTCGTTGAAGGTGAAAAGCATCGACTTAAATAGTAATTAATACCGAGTTTAAGGACACTTATCGCGCAGTTACTGTTTCTAGAAAAATTCACATTTATTCGTTTCATTTCGACTGCATCAGTCGAAAGCGGCGTGATGAATTACTAAATAATGTTTATAAAATTCAATATATGTCAAGTTACCGTGAACCTAGTGTTAAATAAGAATCCCGCGCGGTTAATAACGTAGAAAGAATCGCTTCAGAATATTTTGGAAGGATACTTTGAACAGGCTGAAACGTCAGAACACTCCTTCACCGTTAAGGCCCCCTGATAGCGATATTATACGCCAACGGGCTTCTCGTTGAATCATACTCCTCTTTGCCAACAACGGTCGTCCATATCACTCGGCCAAACGCGAAAACATATTATTCATCGTTTCGCTATTGAACCCTTACTCACCAACCCCCACACCTACTTAGCGTGAGCCGTGGTAGTTGTAACAACGGTTCTTAAGAAATTAGTTCCGGTTCTTAGAAGTTTGCTCAGTGACGATCGTGGCCTACGGTATCTCAAATACGAAAGAAGCCCTCGTGCACAAAGAAATGCAATCCGATGGTATCGGTGAGTCCACTTCGCGGATTGTGCAGGAATTAGGACAGAAATTTGCTAAGATTATTCTGTTCCCCGTTCGTACGGGTTTTCAGCCGCTTTATCCCGTAAAGCTCGGGTCAACCTTGCCGCCTGATGACGATTAATAGAGGGAACGATAACGACTGCCCGGATGTTTACTGTCAGAGAGTATATTCTAAAGAAAGGAGCAGTTTCGGAAATCCCGGCCTCGGTTCGGTAATCTCGGTTTTCCTTCCTGACGCGCCGTTCCGGCCTTGCTAATCCCGGCTCAAAAAGACACGGGCAAATTTTCGGTTCCGCCCGAGGAGGGCCGAAAACAAACGGGTTTTGTTGCCAGGCCGGGCGAACGCGGAAAGCTTCGACGGTTTCTACCGCTGCGAGAGGGACGGCGTGACGGAAAGCGGAGGTCGAAGGGCAAGGGGATGTTTCGTGAGGTCGAGGAGCGAGCGCGAGGAGAATGATAACTCCGAATGACGACACCTGGCGGCACCGTGACGGGAACCGGTGTGTCCTCGGGAAAGAAAGAGAGAACGAGTCGATCGTTCCTTTCGATCATATTCTTATGGACTTCGTGATACGATCGTCTTACTCGAACAGAGTTTCTTCCGGGTCGGAATCGACGCTATAGCTACCGAGCATTTCTCGTAATTGATAGAGAACTTTTTCAAGAGAATTATAAGAGTAGACTTTCACAAGGTCCCTCGCGTTACTCGTTGTAAATACGAATTTTTCCGATAATTTTGAACCTAAGCACGCCCAAGATTTCAATGAAGTTCAAAGGTACACGATACATTTATAATCCATAATCCTTGTTTCATCATACGGTCGTATTGATCTGTTTATTTGCAGCAACCGATGCAAGAAGGGGTGGGCAAAAACTGTGTTGCATGTTGTTCCGAATGAATAAAAGAGAACACCCGATATTTTAAGGTTTGCGACGCGGAGGACCAGAATTTCCCGTGCAACTCCATGAAACTTGCATTGGAACGTTCAGCGTGATGCTCGGGTGCAGCGGAGGGCATTACGTTTTCGCATTCATTAGCCGCTCATCGTCATTGGATTCATTCGTATAGTCTCGAGTAAAAGCGCCGAGCGTCATTAATCAACGGGCAAGTGCTTAAAGAGCAACAATCAATAAACCGAATTACAAATAAAAACTCAAGAACAAGGAACTAATTACTGCTTAATGAGCAACTAATGGAACCAGCGTCAAGGTACTTCAAATCCCAGGTGAAACACACCCGGCGATCTAAAGGTCCGAAAATCATTAGCGACCGCGATTCGAATCTACGGACAGTATGAAACCGCTAAATATCTACCAGACCTAATCTCCTTAATTGCCGATAAGTATCTCGAACGTATTACAGAATGAACGATCCCCGTCGAAGGGAAAACCGAGTTACTTGTTAGAACAGCGCTCGTCGCGATTAGCCCGCCTAATGAACGCTGCGCCGCATTAACATTCGATAAAAGAATCAATTAACATTCGCGATCGCATATTGAACTTGATCCCGCTAATGGATTCGTGAGGCATGCCCGAACACGTTCACGTTCCGCGTTCGCGTGTGTGCACCGCGGCCGAGAGGTGCGCCCATGGCATCGATTATCGATTTGGATGTAAATAGACGGGAATGATAAATTTATCGGCGGCGTGTACCCGCTCCCAGTGTGCGCCGACGGTTTCCCTCCACCTAATTTTCCCTGGTGACACCGCGCGCCGCCGCCTCGTCCAGGGAGGATCGCGGACGGAAGGATCCGGCGGCACGCGTAAACAGTCGCCGCCGGTTCGGTACGCGACGTTCGTCGCTGGTGTGTATCGATCAAACGGACCCCGGCCCCGCGCTGTTTTCCTTGGCGCGACGTCACCAACGCAGCCGAACGTTATTGCCTGTTTCGTGCAATTGTTTCTTTAACGGCGCTCCTTGAATCTTTTTATAAAGCAATCGATAACACCGGGCGATTCGCTAACCGAACCCAGGTCCTTGAAACACGCTGCGAGGCATGATTTGCAGATTCGCCGGTGGATAGATTGGCCAGCTTCGATGCTATCGAGTTTCCGATGGAACTATTCATCTACCGCATATTTATGTCTGCGGAGAGGATAACGGTTCCTACGTTCGATTGGTTTACTGTGTACTCGTTTCGCGAACGCTTCGACGCTCAAGTTCGAACATGATTGCGGGCTTTCAGGTTTGGGGAACGGTAATCCTACGCGGTCCTTTTCATCATGAAAATCGAATGCTGGCGCTATCTGTGAGCTGGATTGCTGATCTGCATCGAGTTGGGACCTGTACGATGATCGTTTATATTGTGAGATCGCGTGGAATATTAAAATGGTACTTGGACATTACGATCCTGGGATGTAAGTGAATTGTTATTGGGATGTACTTAGCTTAAGACTGTAGTTTTTCTTTTCTACTTCCAAACAGGACAGTACCGGGTCGGTAACCGGAGGAGAATATTCCCGCTATACCGATAACTGTTCTCTTTACCATACCAATTGGCCAGTTTCGACATAGTTGGACGAACTGTGGATTAAATTCGGCGTTGTGAGCGTACTGTTTACAATTTTAAACCTGTAAAGACATGTTCAAACTTGTTGAGTCTGTGTTGCTTTGCGTCACGTAATTCTCTTGGAGAAGTCGAATAGTTTAACAGAAGAATCATGGATTTACTACCGTAAGTAATATATTTTGGTTTCGCGATACTGTGACGAAGTGTAGAACAAATATTTGGACAACGCATCTTGATCGACGATTTTATGGACGTTGTAACCTCTTTGTTAACATACCTTTCACTTGAATGCATTCGCTTTTCCTCAGGCAGTCGAGTTCAACATTCTGGAAAGGCGGCAGATTGCAAACATTCGAACATTGGCCCTTTCAATCAGCCGATAATCCGTGCAACCCGGAACGAATGGCTGCTGCTGGATTTATTGCCATTGGTAACAAAGAAGAACCAGATTTGGCCGAATGTTTCATCTGTTCGAAGCAACTCGACGGTTGGGATCCGGACGATGATCCTTGGTATGTTTGTTTGTCATTTTACCTGTTTTATAAAAACATACACATACAGAGATGTATATGTATATGTGCAATCGCTTCCACTGAATTCATTTATTTCAGGATTGAACACAAAAAGCATAATGCACAGTGTCCATTTGTAAAATTAAATAAACTCGATGAGACGACATGGACTGTACAAGATCTGTTTGATTTGTTTAAAAAGTATGAGGTGAAAGAATGTGTAAGTATCATGTATGATCATATTCTGGAAAGCCTCTGTTAAAAGAAATGTGTTTAGGAAGTACGTTTTAGCATTTGTGTTTCTTATTAAAATATATGTGTTGTATTGTCACAGATGCGCGAATTGGATAAAGGTAAAGCCAAAATGAAAGAAGAAACCACTAAAATGGCAAATGATATCCCTGAAATTTATAAAGGCTGGAGGAAAAGTTGCAGAGACTGAAATTAATGTAAAGTGTCTATCAATCTCTCATCTCGGTTTCAAGTCTTATTAACATTGTTGTCGTCGATCTGTCGTTTTTATATTTTTATATTTCATCCGCTTCTCTTTTCATTATTCCAGTCAGAAATGGAAAGTTGGTTTTCATCGAAATAGACAAAGGAATATATACAGTTCAGAACGAAAATGATAATCGTTCCGATACCGATCTAAGATTAGCATTCGGTGACGCATGTGAATTACAAATGAACACATAAATTATCAAATATCGTGTTTAACCAATTTGCGCTGTCCATTCGTCTCACACTTGTTCGATTTCATCGTCTTCATTTGATGGTATTAAAAGTGAAAGCGGTTCATTATCATCGATCTCGTGTGATATCAACACACAAATGTTTGAATACTAAAAGTTTTCCTATAATTATAACATTACTCTATCGCACGTGCCTTTTCCGAACACGACGTATCTCTTAATCATAGAAATAAATTCATATATGCTGCCCGTTATGTATCGGCTAGCGTTGTTAATAAAAACTGTATTTTTAATGAAAACAATTTATATCATTTACGTAGTCATATTCAATTGTAAGCTGTTTCTATTATGCGGAAAAGAAACCTTGCGATTTCTATGTTTAGGTATGCACCTATCAGAATTGGTTTCTCATACCAGTAATTAATACACGCGTGCATAAGCTGAGAAAAGAAATGTTGTTTACCGCATTTTTTAATCGGGTTATTACGCGGGTGGAACGATGAAGATTCGTTATGCTTTCGATTCTTCGATGAGTTACGAAATGATGGAAACCTTGTCTTCAAAGTCGTGCAATCGGTGTAATTTGTCAATGGATTTCTCTGTTTGACTCGTCGAATTCAATACCTGCTAATAGATATTGAATATTGAATCATGAACAATCGCGAAATACGAAAAATGAATATTCGTTCTTACGAATAAGAATAAGAGAGTTAACTAATATCCTTCGAAGTTTTATTCCTAATGAATCTTCTATATGATTTAGTATCAAACGGTCATTGTTGAAGAAGAGAAAGGTAATGTGGAAGACACTATAGTTCTTACTAAATATTTATATTTGTATTAAATCGCTATTCGTATATTTGCATTTTGTCAATAAATCACTATGTCACAGCATCATTTTCCTCTTTAAACAAATCAGCAACATTACACGCAAAGCTTCGGTAAAACATAAAAATATCCTTATCCCCGCAGGAAACGTTTAAATGTAAATTATATCATATGCATATGTATACATACATATGCATATACGATACATTTAAAATACGTTCGAAATCGATCGAAATTCTTTTTAAACGTACAGCAGTGTGGTACTAAAAAAGAAAAATAAAGTTAGTGGACACAGGCTGATTGCTTTTTATCACCATGACTTCTAAGTCAAGTAGATTATCCATCCAGCGTTTGCTGGATTCAATCTCAAATCCGAGTTTTGTCGAACTCGAGATTGATTTTAAGTCCAGCTTCATTTGTTTTCGCATGTTCACAGTTGAAATCACATTGAAATTCAGTATGGTCGGATTGAACGATACAAAAGTTCAAGATACACGTTACTGTGTATAGTACCTATAAAAATAAAGTTTATCACGCGTTTGTAATTAAGCATCACTAATTTAATTATACAGTCAATGTGAAAGAAACGTTTCTTTGATCAATCAATGACTTTGTAAGTTGCGTCGCTGTTGCTTTCGTTCAAAGCACTAACAACTTGATACGCAGGTAATATTTCCTACGGTTACGCGTGAATCTCGTTCAACAGAACTACTGAACGTAAACATCTCAGTGACATGGATACAGTGTAACAAATATGTATACATGTATAAAAAGAATATACAGGCGGTATCTGGTAAATAATAATGTAAAAGTACGTTTACAAGCAGCCCATTGTTTACACGCGGTATAATTCGAAATATAAAATAACAACCTCTCCCAATTTTTTTGGTTTCTTTAGATCACGTTATATTCAGTTATCGAGGAAATGATCGATTACATGTTTTACGATATACCTACGTTAAAATAAGAAACACGGTATTTGAAAATAACGTGATTAACTTTGTACGTCGAAAGATATAATCTGAAAATATGTTTTTAGTATCTGAAAATATGAAACGAGTGGAATTATAGTTAAAAATATACATAGTGTGATATTTTGTAGTACATCGTTATCGTTTACGATATTCGCAATATGTGTATACGTACGTGTGTTGTGTATGTATATGCGTGTTTGTATCTCTGTGTGGTATGTATGTATGTATATATATGTATATATATATATGTATATAATTTATATATATATAAATATATATATTTATATAATCGTCTATCGCTACTTCACCAAATAACAATGGTCAAGTAGGTACTACTTCATTTAACTTAAAATAGCCTTAGCAACACACCGTTACATTCTTTTTAGTTACTCAGCTCACTTGAGCATAAAATAGAATATCTTTTCAGCAGTAAGAAAACAAAAATCTAGTTTAGATTTCACAGGAAACTAACAGACTATGGCGATTGCTTTTTGACTGTAAATACACCATATTCTTATTGCAATGATCCACGTGGAGAACATCACCCTGTAAGAGGGAATGACCTATACAGAAGACATTTGCAACTCTTTATAATACAAGTATTATTATTACTCAGCACGTGCGTGGATACGTTGAATACAATGGCAAATATAATTGGCCATTAATGAGAGAAGGCCCCTTCACTAGTTTGGAAGCCATTATATGCAATAGTAATATTAACGGTTCTTCCCAGCTGCACTGTTTACCATGATAGAATAATTTGATTACCCATTAGCTACTCCAATTTTCGGTTTTTCGGCGTTAAGTGGTTGGATGATACGAGCTAATCAAGGCAGCGTCTAATGGTTCCATACATGATGGACACGTTAGGGAACGTTGTAACCAATCGTCGATACAGATTGCATGATAAGTGTGCATACAGGGTAAATAACGCACTTCTTGTCCAGCCAATAAATCCATCATACATATTACACACTCTTCCTTTTTAGCTCCATCGTATTCTCGCAGTGGCAGCTGTTGAATGAGTCCCAGACGTTTTCTAATTCGTACACGTAGCACTTCTTCCCTTAACAATCTGTGCTCATTGGTTGGTTCTACCGTGATGCCAATACCAATTCCATAGCCCCTGTTCAAAGTGACCGATTGTGGATGGCCACCGGTTGGTGGGTAATAAGAACTCAACAACTCCTATAAAATCAAGAACAACTATTTTAAACTGGTCTAAAACGTAAAACGAAATATTTTAATCTTCTACATGAAGTACGTACTTCAAATATTTTTTGAAAACAAAATGATGCGAAAGAAAGAATGACAGTGTAATACACAGAAAAAAGAACCATAAATTTGAAGTAAACTATTCATTGTCTACCATTCTAAGTAGTATCCAATCGGTGAAATGAACACATCAACTTTAACGTCATTCTTGCTATCATAAAAACAAAGAGAAATCGGGGACGTACAAGATACTGCCCGTGCCCAATGCATTCGTAGGTTCGGCGAAGATAAAGCGATGAATGACATAGCCAGAGATTAGACGTAATTAAAAGAAATGAAAATTACATTGTAAGGTATTGGTAGTCCATGGTCTTCCCGCGATGAGCCGATGGGCAACGCAGGATCGGAACTGTTGCTCACCAACGTAGTATTGTCTTGTTGACTGTCACTAGCACGCTTTAAACAATTTCCCATTTTGATGGGAACGTTATCTCTAATCTCCCGTTCCTCGAACAACACCGTACAATTTGTGAATATCCCAGCATCGATTAAAGAATCGCGATAACACCGACGTGGGATATTAAGAGTTCTGTCCCCATGGTAAATCGCGTTGTTTTTGCGCTGATTCTCGTTACGCGATCCGTCTTCGCTCGAACGGATGACAGTTCGCGTTCCTCGCGTCAAAATAAGGTGGCGCAGAGGCCTTTACTAGTGAAACATCATCCGTCACGTACTCGTAACCACAGCTGACTCTCTACGCATCTATCGAGACGCGATCGAAAGAAAAACAGGCCAGTTATATTCGCCAGGTTGTGCGTGCGAAAGAAAAAAAGCACTTTTCACATCTCTCGCGACGTTCTTCAAACGTTTAGTACACACTGCTCAGCTTGCATCCTGCTGCGTAAAAGATACCTCGCCGCGATTCGTCGCCGTGACCGTATCGCATTTTCCGACGTCCAATCAGTGAAAAACGACTGTCAGCGATACAAAGACTTCATGGAAGCATCACGCATACACCTCGTTCGGAAGACACCCGGCAACTAACCTGCGATTGGCTCCTCGTCACACCGACATCGCGTGAAGCGACATTTGAAATGCAGTTCGCTAGAATTTAGAGAAACGCCGTTTCAGCTGCCATTTATATCATTAGGTATTGTACATGATAGATGAAGTAACATTTTAAAGACAATACAACATTTCTGCGGTAAGACATGTGTAATTTTGTATTTGGAACATGAATGTCTAATGTTTCTCGATTATAACAGTCAATCGAGGAAAGAACTGATATTATCATGGACGAAACTATCGTATTCAATAAAATAGATTTGTTTTTAGAAATGTTCGTCGTTTAGGTTATTTTTTCGAGGATACAATCCATCGAAGGGAGAGTATGCAGAAATATTTTGAAACAAAATTGAGACCATTTTCGGTATTCCCATTTTTGAAATTGATAATGGTTTAAAATAAAGTAGGCTATTTACTGTTCATTTGAAAGAATTTATCCATCTTTGCTTTCAGAAGTCATTGCCCGCCTAACTTAAGATTAAAGTGAAGGATAACAACAATGGCGGCGTAGTTGATCACATGATGGACTTCTCATTGGTCCATTTTGTGCTGGACAAGACTGTACCCATATGCAATATGATAGAACAAAAGATTTTCCTGACTCCCATTCTTGAAAGTACAGGTATTAAAAAGATGCAATTAAAAATAAGAACAATCTGTTACTTTTCTTAAGAAGCAATTGCTATTTAAGGAAATGTAAGATGAACCTCAATAGAGATTATAAATTTTAAAGATATTCTAAAATAAGATTCTTCATTTTAAGAGATAAAAATGCAACTTTGTATTTACACAAAATCCATAAAAATTGCTCCACAGATTATTCGATTAAACTTTTCAAATGGAACACAGTTGAAAGTATCCCAAGAATTTGTCACTCAGCCGGCAATGTTTTTATGCGCGAAAAAAATTGTTCGTTTGCGTCAGTTGTCGCGAACACAAAGTTCTGAACTTTGTCCGCTCTTTTTTTCACGTATTTTAAACCGGTCAATCTTGATCTTAAATGATCTTCAACATTTGTCCAATATTACTCCACGCGATAATTGCATAATATTTATAACTCATTCTCTATCGTAAATATAAATTACCAGTAACTCCGGAATAAAATAAGAAATCTCCGGAACTTCGTTTAACGAGTCATTCCATTTCACAATTCCCTTCGGAAGCACCTTTACGATATTAATCAATTCAACTCGCAATTAGTCAACGGAGCGATCCATGCACAGACGAATTACTTCACTAAACCGGATCTCCTTTATATAATAAAGATTAGTAATTGGTTTCGAGCGAAAGTAATGGGGGAAGATAAAAAGAGCATCAACATTAAAAAAGAGCCGGTCGGTAGACGCGGATGAATGAATGAATCAAATCGCGAGGGGTCTGCTCGTACATTTGCATTACCATCACAAACATTTTCTTATTACACTTTACGTTCAAATGAACAATATATTTAAAACAATAATTTTAAGTCTCCACCGCATATGCAATCGTCAAACCTACGCAAGCAGAATGATTCGTTTAACCAAAAAGGATAACAATTTTCTCATAACGATTGCCCTCTTCGTTTTTCCAAAGGTCACAGTCCTAACGTTACCACGTTGACTGATATTAAAAACAATAATTAACAGTCGCTATTAGAATATTACCTCGTTTATACATTATCAAATATTTCTATTCGTCAATTTCCATACTACAATAGTATGCGAACAATTCGGGAACTCCGGTTATCGGTAACCGGCATGGCGGTCGTGTTAATTCGTACGCGGGATGCTCTACAGTAATAAAGTCGGCCATTTGAACGGTAACGTAAGAATTCATACGGATGGCGTATCGTCATAAGGGTCTTTTTCGCGTTTATCTTATCGCCCGGCGACCCCTGGCCCCGTACAAATACGAAAAGCGAGGAGACCTTTGGCACCGGCCCTCTCCCCCGTCGAAGAGGAGAGTATTCCCGGTTGATTCGGTGTCGTTATCCATTCGGTCGGCGAGCTCTGTCCGGGCAGGAAGCACTTACTTAAACTATACACCGCGTACACAGGCCGCTTCCCATCCGAGGGCCAACCGTTTCTCCTCTTTCGCACCCCAATCGTCGCTCTCAGTGCGATCTATTCGCTCGGCCAGCGATCCGTCCACTGCGGTTCAACGCGGCCACGGCGAATCATTTTTATCGGTGCACTCCGCAGGCGGTACGAGTGACTCGGTGATTAAGCTCCGCGGAATCGGGAATTTCTTTTTACATTTTCCTTTTGTTACCGCGGCGATCTTGCTTTCGCCCTCGTTTCGTGTATCAATTTGTGCGCGATCTCGGACGGCCGTTCGTGTTGTCGAGTGTGTGTGTTCGGTGATCCTTTGCCGTAAACCTGTTGACCGGAGGGGGAACGAGTCGACTAGTTTTTCGTCTGTTAACGACTATTCATAATTATTCGTTCGTCTAGTTTGTATTTCGTATACTGTGGAATCTCGGGGATAACGTTCGCGATTGTTTCGGTCCTCTAAAAGAGGGATGAGCGTAACGAGAATATGTTTATAAATTGATTTTAACGCTGGAGATGACGTTCCTTTGAAACCATATAATATTATTAAGCCACGGGGATCAGCATACTCGTGTCGTTCTCCAGATTGCGAAATACGGTGTAAGAAAGATATCAATAGAATAAATTAACGCGGTGCATTTCTGCGAAGACGATAAAATTCCGCAGAAGAAGAATGAAGTTTCTCTTCTGCGAATCGATATCTGAAATTGCTAGTACGCATAAACATCCTGCGAAACGTTTTGCAACCGTTCAAATTACGTGAACTCCCGTTTATCGTGAGATCTTGGGTCGCGTCGATCCTCTTCGCCGTCGGTCGCCGTTTCTATTCGTGTTTACGATGAAAGAATCGCCCGGTTAACAGGTCAAATTCATTCGATACGGATAAGAAAATTGTACTCGCGAGTGCGGAATGCAAGGGAACCGAGCGAACCTTCTACTTTTGCGTTGCAGTGGTACATTCGGCGGCGGAATGGAATAGGAGCGTGCCCCGTGGACGAGGGGATGAAGAGCGCATCGAGACAGGAGCAACGTCCTTGACCTCGGTGACCATAAGACAAGATGGATTTGGATAAGGGAACGTGGAAACGCGCCGCGATTTTCGTTATCGCGGCCTGCGTCGTGATCGGCACGGTGCATTCAGGTAATCCTCTTCGTTGAACGAGTTTCCTCGGTAGTTTGTCGGATGAAAGATGACGGACACTTGCGTTTTTGTGTCTTCATACGATAGTTTTCTCGAATTTATCTAGAGAAATCGGAATTTGTATAAGTTCTCGTAACTCTAGACTGGAGGATTGATATTAAAACAGCAAGTTAACGCAGCAACGGCACAAAAGAAACGTATAAGTAGCAATAAATAATAAGCTCTTTTGGTTATTGAATGTTTTTATTGTCATTATTAACTTATTATACAGCACAAATCGATTAGAGACACAGAGACAGATAAAGTAAGCAGAAAAGTTATCGAAGAAAATGCAAGCTGACACTTTCGGTGCTCCAAGATCAGATTTTTTAATCGCAATAAAGTGGAAAACTGAAGTTGTTGCGTTTATGCTTCAGTTAGAGAGTAGTTTTAAGTTGCGTTATTCTCCTTACGATTAAATCTAACTATTACAATTATCTCTCGTGCGTGTTGTTCGACGCTGCTTTCCGAGAAACGGCGCGAAGTGCACAGTTCGCGTATCGTCCCCGCTATCATCAACGCGTAACGTCCATTCATAACGAGTTGTCGACCGACACCCGAGCCGATTTCCAAGAACAGTGATTTTTCGCCATGTTCTTAACGAGATATCGTTTATCTCATTTCAGAAATCATCAAGGACTCGACATCCTGCAGCCGAACGAAATGCAAGGGTAAGCGACCCGACAAAATAATTCGCAGCCGATGAATGAAAAAATGTTGTCGGTTTCGAGCAATAAATACAATAGCGATAGTAATTTAAAAAAAAATTAATTCATCCACTGTCAATGTAAAAATCGACAGATTTATCGCGCATATTCAAAATCACTTATCTCTTACAAACCGATCGCTTTCTATATATTATTACACGCAACAAATAAGCATTCAAGATAATACAACAATTTTCCTCATAAATTTTCTTATTACTAATTACTAATTAGTCGTTACAGTGAAAACTGCGTGCGATAAACACACAACCTTCAGATTATTGCATTCCTAAAGATCAGACAGACGCTAATAAGTTCACGAATAAAGGTCGAAGTTCAATACAAACGACGAAACCGTAGTGACATTGATTCACAGGAATCAGTGAACGTCTCAAACACAACATTCCCTATTTTCAGTGCCAGCGAGCAGGAAGTTCAAGTACGAGGAGGGCGTTCAGTACAGGTACAGGTATTCCGTGAACGTGAGCACGAACCTGGGCAGCGAGAGTCTCTCAAGTCCTCGGAACGAATCCACGCTGTACCTCGATGCGTACGTCGTAGTCCATTTCACCAGCCCCTGCGAGGGTAACCTAAGGTTCTACGACGCGAGACTGGGACACGAGCCCGGAGAAAGGATCGCTGACGCAGAGTTCAATCCGAACTTGGCTCGCTACAACCTGCGATTCGCGTTTGACGATGGCAGGATCGACGAGTTGTGTCCTCACAAGCACGAGCCAGCCTGGGCGCTGAACCTGAAGCGAGGTGTCCTCTCGATGCTTCAGAACAACATGCGCAGATTCGACGTGGACCATCGAATAGAAGAGCTAGACGTGAACGGCCTGTGCGAGACGAACTACCGGCTGCACGAGGCTAGGCACACCAGCTTGGTAGTGAAGAAGTCGAAGAACCTCTCGAACTGCGCGTACGGCTCGAAACACTTCTCCGTGATCCAGTCGAACATGTACAGAAGCCCTAAGTCATATCCATCGAGGTATCCTCTAGTAGAGTCCCGCAGCGATTGCGAGCTGATCATCGATCACAACGTGTACGAGCAGGTCGTGTGCAAGGATTTGCACCGGTTGCAACCCCTGTCCAGCGGGAAGACTGGCGCGAGAACGGAGTCGACCGCTGAACTTCGGTTGCTGAAGGAAACCAAAGACAACTACTCGAACGAATACGGCAACGAGGCTGAAGAAGAGGATGAAGAGGAGGAGGACGTGCAGATGGATCGCGCGAGGAGGACGACGCTGCTGTACGATTACTCGAAGACCGCGAAGAACGCGTACTGGGAGCGAAGATCGGCCAGGGATCTGCTGAGGACCATGTGCAGGCTAGGGGTGGGCGCCGAAGAGCTGCAGCATCGGTTCTCTGAAACGTTCACTGCGTTCATACACTCTGCTAGGCTGTTGGACTACCCGTGGCTCTCGCAGTTGTTCGCCAGGGCGAACACTTACTGTAAGACTGGAAAGTGAGTGAAAGAGGAATGCTGGTTTATGGAAGTTATATCCACCTTGGGCAGGTTGAAATTTTCGGCTGACCCTGATCATTGTTAGGATAGAGTCTTTCAGATCGACCCGTTTATTTAGGAACGTAACGGATTTGGGGATTACCAGATTGGCTTGTCGGTGATTGGGAGTTTGTAGAGATTCCGCGCTGTGTACCTGAATTGTTAGGGGAGCAGGTACCTGGTGACTGACTGGGGCGAAAATATTTATTTAGAATTTGTCGGGTCGCGAAATCTATTGTCCGGGTTTATGAAATCCATTCTTAACTCTTCTATAGAATCACCCGGTGCTGAAGAATAAATATTCCTCGTAGAGCACAAGTTTCCATTCAGTGTGTTATTTGTATTTATCGAAAGGAGTAACGAAGAAACAAGTTAGAATATTTAATTACACTTGTCTTTTATTTTTGATGAAATAGAATGGCAATGCTGTTTCATGGTGTTTCATGATTTTCACAGGAAACACATAGTAGACGCTCTGCCCTTCATAGGCAGCAATGCGGCCGTGAGCGTGATGAAGGATTTGATTATGGAAAAATACGTGGATCAGAAGATGGTGAACGACTGGGTGACAGCGTTCGCGTTGATCCCTCGGCCAAATCAGGAGACGATCAAAGCTTTGTCACCTTTGTTGGATTTCCAGCAACAAATCCCGGATGCTCAGTTCGTCCTGAGTTACTCGGCAACGATCCACGCTTTCTGCACCAATTATGGGACCTCGTGCAGCGACGTCCAACCTGTGTCTCAGTTTCTCACGTACTTGGAGCAGAAGATCCAAAAGGGTTGCATGCCTCAACCGCATTCTCCTTCTGCGATTAAGGACGTATGTAAATCAATATTATTATTATTGTCTCTATAATCGTCGAAACAAAATGTTTGCATTATCATTAAAAATAGTAAAGTAATTACTTTGGGTAATAATAGTTGGATGTCATTATGACATTATAGATTTTATATACAGCTTTCCCCCTATAAGGTGACGTTTTTACTACCCCTTAGCGACTGTTTCCTATCTTTGCCATCTCCTGTTGGTACTCAATGAACAGACGACGATAAATTATGTCTACTGTTCCTGAGCAATTCTTAACACTTGATTAATTATTTTAAACCTCGTTTTAGACAATGGAAGCCCTGAAAGCGATAGGAAACATGGGTTTGGAAACAGATAGCTTGTTGGGAAGCCTGAAACAGTGCATAGACGAGTCAAGCGGATTCGTTCCGATGGAGATTCGCGTAGCAGCTGTTGAGGCTCATCGCAGGATGCAGTCCTGTGAGAAGACCCGCGATCTATTCTTCTTGGATTACTACCGGAACTTCACCTTGAATGCAGAAATACGTATCGCCTCCTACTTGCAGGTGATACGTTGTCCCGATTACAATGTCATTAAAACCATCAAGCACACATTAAAAACGGAGGAATTCAATCAAGGTAAAGCTTTATAGTTTTTTTAATATTTTCCCTCGGCAAACATGATGTTAATATGAATATAATATTAATATAAATATACAAAATAAATATGTATATTTATGTTTAAAAAATACACTTCACGGTGGGGAATCTCGTAAATAGATTGTTTAAAAATTAAAAGATCACAGCAACGTTGATTTTACTATCTCGCTTGCAGTCGGAACGTTTGTCTGGAGCCACCTGACGAATCTCTACCGTTCCGCGTCACCGACGAAGGTCGAGGTCCAGAGTCTGCTCACCGACGACGATCTCGGGAACAAATTCAACGGAGACAGAAGAAAATTCTCCCGCAATTACGATGGATCGTTCTTCTCCGAGGAGTACAACGTCGGCGCGAATTACCAAGGGAACCTGATTTTCTCACCGGACTCGTATATACCGCGTTCAGCGACATTTAACGTCACGTTCGACCTCTTCAGCGAGTCCGTGAACGTTTTCGAGTTGACAACTCGGTTCGAGGGGCTCGAGTACTACGCGGAAAAGTTCTTCGGGCCCGATGGGCCGTACAGTAACGAAAAAGTGTCGGGATTCTTTAAAACATTGCTGAGGACCGTTAGACAGGCGCCAGAAGAGGAAGATGACTACTGGAAGCGGGTGAAGAAATTGCCGAATGTCATTGAAAATAACTTCGACAATCCGAGGATCAGTCTTAGTTACAAAGTACGTCAAAATGATGAATATAATACGTACGATACCATTGATTTGTTATGAACATTATAATTAAAATCAAAGGTGTAACTATTAACATTATTTCTAGAGCTAGTTATTGAAAAAATAGAGATATCTCTCTAATGTATACTCTAAAATATCAGTTAATCGAAATATCAATGAAGGAACTGTTTTAGTTTAGATCAGAAAATAGAAAATGGTCCCAGGCAATTTAGTTCTTAATGTTCAATTCAACAGTATCGTTTTTTTCACAGGTATTTGGAAATGATTTGAAGTACTCTGTCTTAAACGGCGACAAGGAAATCAGAGAAGCCTTGATGCGTTTAAATCCGTGGGAGAAATTCAAGCAAATGGCTTCTGGAAAGGAAATTCATTACGAGAACGCGGCGATGTTCTTAGATTCCACTTACGTGGTACCGATGGCATCCGGCCTGCCGGTGCGTCTAGATTTCACTGGATCCGTGGCGTGCAATTTCACGATATCAGGGTTACTCGATAGCAAGGGAATTTCGAACAATAATATTGAGATCGTCAGCAATATCATGCCCAGGTACTGCACGTGTTCTGTACTTAATATTTACGTTCAACAATTCATCTAATGATTCGATCTATTTGATCCGACTAGACAAATCCTTCGCTTTTAATTACATTTTTCATTCCACAAATATATAAGTTGATATAGTATTGAAAGTTCGAATGCATAAGAAAAATGTTGAAGATCATTTAACCCTTCTTAAAGCTAGTTCGATGAACTTCGTAATTCACATACACCTGCTACGAATGCATAATATTCATCGTCAAATGGTTGTGCATTTAATAAATAAAATAAGATAAAAATTTTATGGATTTATAATAAAAATATGATAAAAACGAGTGCAAACAGACAGAATAAGAAACTGTAAGGGGACCAATCAAATCTTCATTTCATATTTGATTCAAAGAATTGGATTTATTAAATGAACTTCTTAGATATTCATTTTCGTAGAATAATTTACAAATTGTTACTACATTTTCTACCTTTTTTGGACAGTGTTAGCGTCAACGTCGTCGGCAGCATGGCCGTAGACGCGTTCTACACCACCGCGGGCGTAAAATTGCGTTCGAACGTCTACTTATCCGGCGGAGTTCAGCTTCACTTGGACGTAAAGGGGTTGCGCTCGGTTCAATTGAGCTTGGGCCTGCCGAATAAGAAGATGGAGGTGTTTTCTATCGGCACCGACATTTTATTTACATCAGGGAACGCCGAGAAATACGAAGAAAAGCCGCTCGGCGTTTTAATCGCCGGTCAAAACGACAATTCGAAGAAAACTGTCGTGCCTGCGAACGTAATCAGCAACACGACTTGTTCATGGACCGCCCTCGACAGACTCGTGGGGTTGAAATTGTGCGTTGATTATCAGTTGTCGAACGTAACGAAGGATCCTAACGCGCCGTACTTCGTTCTAAGCGGTCCCACATTGTTCAAGATCTCTTTATTGAAAGCTGACCCCACTGCCAAGAACTACGTATTGGAATACAAGTGGAATAAAACGGAGGTATCGTCAATGTTTTTCTTCCTCCATTTTTAAGAATCAAAGAGGTTCAAGAGGTCAAGGATTAGCCCCAAGTGTTGGATGCAGCTACTTTTTAACTGTTAATACAATAAATAACTCACAGAACAAAACACACAATGTGATAAAGTATAGCATAAGTTTTTACAGAACTTCATATTTTAATTGAATTTTCATACTCCCGTTGGCTTCAATTACAGAAACAGAACGTCTTTAGAGCTGCGTTCGACACACCGGGATCGCAGGTGAACAGAGAGTTAAGCGCGACCGTCTCCTTCGACAGGACATCTCACAATGTCACCGTTGTCCTGCGATCTGCTGGGAATTCTATAATGGCGGAAGGTAGCGCTATTACATAGTTTACGTTCTAACTGCATCGAAAACAACTATCTGGTTCGAAGCCATAAACTAATGACTTTTGTCTTAGGTACCTACAAGAGCACCGAGAACGAGACGTTCATAGACATAAGCTTTGACATAAACGGCACGAAACACTTTGACGCCAGTTTAGGGTACACGACCAAGAACTTCAGCTACGGCTACACGTTCAGCCCGGAGATGCACCTGATCGTCAACAACGAACGGATAGCGGCTCTAACGGGTATGTTGTCTGTCGGACGAGACGAATTTCTCCTATTCGCTGCCAGACCGACATTACATGATTTCATTCGTATTGGCATTCATGTACTCAGTGCTTGCATTTATCTGAGTTCCATTATTCCTTCGTCAGTGTACTTATAGTTTGTCATAGATAATTATTTGCATGCATAATATTAACTATAGCAAGATATACATATTCAAAAAGAAATAACGGAACTTACACAAATGCATACACTCAAAACGGATTGGGTTATACTGCTGATATAACTCACACAGAATAATTGTTCATCAAGGTACAATAAGGAACGCGTGGAAGAACGACGTGCTGCAGTGCGACGTAGACTTGTTCTATCGAACGAAGAGGATCTGGAGCAAGCTGGTTGGCTACGTGGTAAAGAGGAACGCGAGTCTGGCAAGCGACTTCCAGCTGGATTATCAGATGCAGAAGATGCCGAGGAAAGAGACTCTGAGATTCGAGATATCGCTAGCGAACCGTTCCTCGAAGACGCTGACGTACAAGTCGGCTGACATGAAGCTGCACTCCACTGCCTATCCACAATTGAACAGCGTGGTGACCGCCTGGTATCAGCAGGCGCTGGGTCACCTGGAACTGCACGCAGAGGTGAACTCAAAGCCTCACTTGATGGACGACCGTCACAAGCTCACGATTCAGTTGATCCTCTCGTACTCGAAGATGTACTTCCGGAATCAGGACACGAAATTCAGCGCATTGATCGCTATCACGAAACCTATACAGAACTTGGACATCAGACTGGGGCTCAAGCACTACGCCATGGGACCCGAATCGAAGAGCAGCTTGCTGATAGGATACGCTCCAGGTTGGTTTTAATGAAACATTTAATGAATTTTTCGATGAAGAACTAGTGGCCATGTCACATTTGAGTCTTCCGTTTAGTGACTATTATTTTCTACGGTTAATTGACGTTCGTTTGAAAAAATGTTTCCACTCTAGTCGATTCGAATCAAAGAGAAACATCTATGATTTACTAAGAATCCCATCGTGTGCTCAATAGAATAAAACGTCTTTACAATAAAACTCTCGACCATATTGATTGTTCAAATATCGTTTCCTTCGTATCAATCCTACAAATGAAACTTTGACGAATAAACAAATGTGTATATAGGAAAAGAAGTCGTGCTGACGGTGAATCTGCTGATGCCACGTGGACTGATGTTCGCCATGGAGGGTCACGCGAATCTATCGATTCCCAACTTCAAATCGATGCTGATGGACGTGCGGATCACGGAGAGGTCGAAGCGTTTTTACGACCTTGAGTTCAGGGAGATCTCGTTCACCGGGTACAACGTGACGGCCAAGGGCACCTACGCGGACAAATCGGTCACGTCCACTATGAATCACAGTCTGAAGCTGATCCTGAAATCTCCGACGTTCGCCAGCGACATTCTGCTACAGTGCAAGCTCTACCGTAACTACAACGATTTCAGCCTGATCGTGTCCGTGGAGCAGGTCGAACGCGACAAATACGCGTTCATCTTGAACCACACGGTCAAGTCGCCTACGAACTTCGTTTCGTACATCGAGGGCAGGTACAAGGGCAACGTGTACTGGGTCATGGCAAACGTCAACTCGGAAGGATCTAGGTTGACCGAGATCCAGATGGACGTGCATTTGGATAAATGGAGGGACATCCGGTTAGAGTTGACCGGCGCTAACGTTGAGAACAAGAAAAGATTCGGCGCCATGGTGAAATGGGACGCTAACCGAGATCCCATGCAGAAGCTAGGGATCACGTTCTCGTTCGAAAAGACGGTTCCAGTGCTGACCGAAGACGGTTTCCCGTCGAAGAACATCAGCACCGAGCTCACTTTCATTTATCCCGGTCGCTTCATTACCAGCTTCTGCCTGTTGTCTCTTAGAAGAGATTACAACTACGTCGTGGACGCTGGGATCGACTGGGACCCTGATCGAGTGAATAAGATTGGACTGTTCATTGCTACGCAGTACGACGTGACGCCGGATACGAGGCTGATGATGGTCGAGGGCCACTTCCTCACGCCCTTCGAGAACTGGAGGAAAACTGCTTTAAGCGCCAAGTAAGATACACAAATTATAGGGTGTGTGGAACATTTTGTATGTATTGCATCAGGTTCAACCCTTTCAAGCCCATAACTTTAGGATTTGAAGTTAGACATGCAATTTTGTTGATAGAACTTTAATATCTTAAGAATTAGGATTACTTAGCAATAAGTATTGACTACATTAGTAAATATTATAATGACATCAATTAATCAGTGCAGTAATGAACCAGAGCCAGAAAGGGTTAAACCGTCTTGTATTCATTGAATATCACCATTTCGCTGTTTTCGTCTGTTATATCATATTATACCTTCACTCCGCGTTTTTACTTTACAATTCTTTAAACCCTCCGATCTCGGTTGCAAACGGAATATCACCGCAATCGTCACTGTTGCAGATACCTGCGGGAACAAAGCAACATCAAGCTAAGCGGAAGCGCCCATTGGAAGGATTCTCAGGTGTTGAAGGCGGAATTCGACGGCAGCACCTCGGAGCACGACAGAGTTAAAGAATGGAAAGCGAACTGCGCGATCTCGAGCTCGATTCATTCCATCACGTGGGTAATCATGAACGTCACCCACAAGATAGTCGAATCCCAGGTCGCGGACACTCGTCTGTTAGTGAAATACAACCCAGACAAAGTGATCGAGGCGTGGAGCATCTGGTTCCTGGACAAGAAATCCGACAGCGTGTTCAATCTAACAGGGAACCTCCACCTCGAGTCCCCCGTGACCAGTTATAAGAAGACGGACATGAAGTGTCAGCTGCAGATCCTGCCCGACTGGAAGTTCCTGGGCATGGCGAATCTAGACCTGGACAAGAGGACCTATACGACAAGATTGATCGGCGACGTGCGTCGCATCAAAGAGTCCATGGTGCAGTTCAATGTGACCACGCCGCTCGAGAAGCTGTCGTTCGTCCGTGGACGGTTCGGCTTGTCGGAGAGCAACCGGCACGCGGTCGCCGAGGTCGTGATACCCAGTGGCCCCATAGGCGTGGAGGCTCTAGCGCAGTTCTTCACGTCGGAGTACGACTGCAACGTGAAGCTTTCCCTCGCGACGCCGCTGGAGTTGCTCCAGCGGATCCTCCTGATAGCGAAGCTGAACAACCGGGAAGCGGATTTCAGGGCGGCGTACAACAACATGACCGCCGGCTTCCAAGGTGTCTGGCACTACAGGAACATCACCGATTTCCACTACACTTATCTACTGTTCACACCTGTCTCCGAGCTAGAGGAGATCGGGATGGTGGCGAAACTGATCGTCGCGACCACGGACGAGGGCAAGCTGGACGTAGACACGGAGTTCTCAATCAGGCTAGTCGAGGTGCAGCTCGGCGTCCGAACGAAGGCTGGCCCGAAACCGCCGCCAGTTAGCATACCCATCAAGCCTCCCATTAGCGTGACGAACGATTCGCAAATCGAGGACGAGAAGAGCCCGGATTATCTGGAGGAGTACGAAGAGGACACCAGCCTCTATTGGCACGGCGAGATGGAGCTGCATCCGGCAATCGTCGAGCCGGTCGTCGCGGAGCTGGACATAGATCACGAGGGACCGAATTACAAGATCTACGGGCACTTGGACTGCTTCTCTAGGAGGATTCTTCTCGATGACACCTTCTACTTAGAGGATTTGTTCAATATGAAGAACGAATTAAGCATAGTGACGCCGTTCGCGTTCGCGAACGAGATCGTCTGCGTGAACGCATTCCTGATGGACATGGAGACGCCCAGCTGTACTATGCAGTTAGCCGTGAACATCAGACGGAACGAGGTCTGGCACGAGTCAGGCATGAACCTGTACTACACCTACAACGAAAGCGAGACCGACGACTCGCAGACTCGGTTCCTCAAGGTTGACTTCAAGACTCCTCTAAAGTTCCTCAAGTATCTAAACACGAACACTGTGATGGTGGTGGATGAAAATTTCTATAAAACGACCGTCAAGATACACGCGCCGAACGCGATGATCCATCTGTCGGGATCTTTGGAGACCGAGGACGCGTTGATCGACACGGTCCTCGTAGCTGTGGTCGACACGCCACTGTTGAAGCTGCCGCAGACGACGGTGGTCGTGAAGAGAGACTTCACCGCGAAGGAGAAATACGTGAAAGTCAGCGTGGATGTCGTGGAGCCAGTATCCAAGTCTTTGTTCTTCCAGTCGGAGTGGTACGCGATGGAGGACCGCTTGAGAGCCTCCGTAGCGCTGAGGACTTGGATCGAGTCCTTGAAGAACGTCGAGGCGGACGTCGCTTACGAGAACGTGCCAACGAACGACACGGCGTACCTGACGGCTCAACTGAAGCACTTGGAGGATCGATTGTACAAGCTCGTTGGCAATTACAGCGGAGGAACTGTCGAAGGTGAATTGTACACGCCGACGGTGCCCAAGCCGCATTTCGTGTTCCACGGGGATTTGAAGAAGGAAAATGACACTGCGCATCACTTAGAGGGCGAGCTCGTGAACACCGTAACCGCGGAGAAGAAAGCGGTGTCGGCTACTTTCGTCTCGAAGGGTATGGTCGATGGCCAACCATCCTCGAAGATGCTTGCGTCCATGAAGCTGCAGTCTAGATCGAACAACGAGGTTACACTTGTGAAGCTAGTTAAGGAGAATTATGGATTAAAGATAGGCGTGGATGGGCCAGCAGCGAACGGGACGCTAGAGATGAACTTCATCAACTCGTTGAACTGGGACCTGAGGTTGGACGGGGACTTACTCGAGGGGTCAGGCGAGAAGGGACGCTACCAGGTGGCCACGTTTATGAACGTCCAAGTGAACGGGGACGCGAATCTGTATATTCACGCCGCGACGCCTACGAAGGATTTGAGAGACCTCACGCTGAAGGGGAATATGTGGCTGCGCAAAGAAGGCAACAAAATTGGAATCTCCAACGAGTTGAACGGGGACAGACAGTACATGAACGTCGAGTGGAAACTGATTCACATGGTGGACATGTTCGGCTCGGTCGTCGGTGGCTACCAGATACGGGATTACGGTAGTAAAGATGTAGTCACCAAGTTGTACTTCAAGAACCCTGGTCGGGTGTACCGCAATGTCGATTTGGGTTTCGACGTGGACCTCGATAAAGAAGCATGGAAATTCGGAGCGAACGCGACCATCGGTTTCCTGAACACCGACAACATCGACGGAGTGTTCATGGTCAGACTGCCGCCGCCTGACAACGATGATCATCGGTTTCTGATCAGCTATCACGCGAGGTCCGGTATTCAGGACGTTTCTTACGTGATAGGATACAACACTGTGAAGGCTAAGACGAACTACGCCTCCGATGGCACGGTTTGTATTTAGATGCTTCCTTCGTATTCGTTAATATTAATTGATTCATTTAATTCCTTCATTTGATGGACGAGTATTTATTTCAGCTTCGATTTAACAGAGGAAACCTTATGAACTCGTCATTTGCGTCCACTTGAAAATAAAATCACATCAGAATCAAACGTAGAAGACATGTCTGGATTAATGTTATTAGTGATTGATGTTAATAGGTTAACACTTTGAATGCCACCGGTGACCAACCAAATCGAATTACTGTAGTTTATTCAATTAAACCATGATTATTTGAAAACATTTCTATATTATACACAATGCTAGCTAAAGTGATGACATTCAACTAGATGAACCTGCAATAATAACAATGCAATTTAATCAAGTGATTTAATATTATATTTTTTTCATTTCGAGTATTTTGTACTATGAAACCGTGCGGCATTCAACGTGTTAATATTCATTTTATTCATGTTTTCAAACACATCGTTTTATTACAGTTATTCATGGGCAGACGTGAAATCAGTGGACATCTGAGGGCATCTTGGGGGATGCTGCCTATTCAGTCCATCAACAACCTCTTCAATGTCACCATCGACAACAAAGAAATCGACCTAAGATACTCATTGTTCACTCCGAAGTTCCAACAACAAGAGACACTGGTGTTCGTGTTCAATTACGACGCGACGCTGGACACCGACAGACGACTGATAAACGCGGAAGTGTATTACCCAGCCAGCACGCGCTTCGGTTCAGCGAATGTATCCTACGAGAGCCTAGTGAACGTTAACGGGACCTTGAACGCAGTTTTGCCCATGGGGAACATCACGCAAATCGGATGTCAATTCGTGGTGTTCACTACATTGTAAGTGAAATGTCAGATAAACATTTAACCCTTGTGCACTGTGCAGGCGACCATTGAATGGACATTTGAATCAGCTTGTATTAAAGTTGACACTAGATTAAAAATGTCGAATCGTCTAGAATCTCGATTGTGACATTAGTATTTTAACACATTGTACGCCGGCTAAATTTCAGCTACTAAAAACGCGAGCGTCGCTGATTATATTAATATATTTTTAAACATCAATCCAACTGAAATTCGTAACTTACGGAAACGAATAAGGAATTCGATTTTGTAATTTCATTTTGTGTTATACATATCTAAAATGTTACATTAACGTAGGACTAGCAATTAAACGATAGACTAAAAATCCCGCGTTATCGCGCAACGTGCTAAGTTACATGTTCCTACAACGAATAATTTTAATTACTCATTCAACGTATACTTAATACAATTACCCAAGCTGCCGAACAATGCACGTATCTTCTCCCCTTAACATTACGCGCATGAACGGATCTGTTCCAGGCAGCACAACAAGAGATACGTGAAGGTATTTTGGCCCCAGAATACCGCCATCTTGAATTCGGACTACACCTACCGCAGCGAAAAGCTAGATTCCGATCTCGACGGGCTGCTGCACGTAGAGGTTCCCCTGCAAACTCGCCACATCGGTCACTTGACGTACGGTTACCAGAAACGACCGCAGGTGACCACGGGTTACTCGGATTTGAAGTACAACGAGAACAAGGTTCTCCAAGGCCGCTACAACTCGAAGAGCGAGTCCAGGGCCGGGTTCGAGAAGGACCACATTCAGATCACGATCGAGAACTCGTTCAAGCCACTCGGCATCGTCTACGTGAACCAGTACGAGTACAGCGCCGGGAACGAGGGTACCAACTACCCAACAGTGGAGTACAAGCACGTGAACGTTTACCAGCTGAACAACAAGACCGCGTTCAACGTGGCCGGCGAGTCGCGTATAAAGACGTTGCACACCGGCAGGGAGATCCACCTGAAGGCCATCCACTCGAACAGGACCGTAGAGCTGAAGACGGATTACCAGGTGCTGCCTGGCGAGTTCCTGCAGAACTCAACTCTCAGCTTAGCGAAGGACGTTTGGCTGTCGTACGAGATCAACATCGTGAACGAGACCACGGAGGACATGGATCACCAGACCATGCTGCTCAGCGTGTCCTACCCTCAAAGGGAGTTCATCCTGAACGGCTCGTACTTCATCCAAAGCAACTCGATCCGGTCGTTCCTACAGCTCGACTGGGACCAACAAACGGATCAACCCAGGAACATCGGCGCCTTGTTCAACTGGGAGAACAGTACCTATATTGTACCGCAGCAGACAGCCACGATCGGCCTGACGCATCCCAGTTTCTTCAAATCCGTGTTCTTGAAAGGCAGGTTGATGAAGCGGAATCCCAGGGATCTGCTGAACGCTGACGTAACCGTGGATTATTCCGAGGACCAGAGCAAAGTATTCACGCTGTCCGCGTTGCTGCGGGACGAGAGTAAGGCGCCTAGCACTAGGAAATACTCTTACAAGATAACTGGAAGGCACCCGAGCACCAAGTTCGAGCTCGATCTACAGGGGTCCGTTCGCAAGTACGAGAACACCTGCTTCGAGATCGTCAACAACGCCAACTACAAGCGTAGCTATTTAGCGGGCGAAGCTGGACAACTGAACTCTCGTTTGGATGTCATCAAGAAGGAGGTGATGTTCCAACGTGAGTACAACGAGGCGAAGAAATACTTGTACGTCAGGTATTATCCGTCCGAGAGGACGTACGTTGTGAACGGCAGCGTGGTTAACACGCCGGATCTTAACGCTACCGGAGACTTCCTGTTCGACCCTGGGGAGAAGTTGACGCAGATGATGGTAAACTACACTCCGGACGCCGTGGAGAGTTTGCGCATGTACGGGAAAATTCCGGACGCCCGGTACGCCGTCTTCAACATATGGAGGACCTACGAGGATGATTATTCCATATCCGACGTGTCTTTCTACTTGAAACTGAATCACTCCAGATTAGTCACCTCGACCCTCCGCTGGAGACCCGAGCTGAGGGGCGACGTCACGAATGGCATAAAGAATACAGCGATGGATTTGTACAACAGCATAAACAACGACGTCGATTACTGGAAGCAGTACGTGAAAAGCGAAACGGTGAACGTGATCTCGGACGTTTGGGACGACGCTCAAGAGGATCTCCAGCAGTTCCTCGACGACTGGAACGACCTGAAGGAGCTGCAGACCGACTTCGACGAGCTGAAGACGTACTTGAACAACTCGTACAACGCGAACGACTTCTACATCAAGGACATGGTCACCTGCGCGATCTACGTGATCGACGAGCTGTCGCTGCGACACCACATCGAGTCGCTGCCGAACATCTTGAACGAGATATGGGCAATAATGGGCGAGTCGGGTAAGGCGATCAGACACCTGCTGCTCTACGTGGTGAACGCCGTTAAGAATGCGTTCAACAACGTCTCCGAGATAATCGCGGCGATTCTGCGAGGCGACTCGTTGACGCAGGTAGCGAACATCATCGAGAAGCTGATCGAGCAGTACGACAAGATCGTGAAGGACCTCCACGTGTCGTTCATAAAATACATGGAGAAGCTCTGGCGCAACGTCTCGCAGTCGATCTCCCAACAATGGAATCGGTTCCTGTTGTTCATCGAGCCGCTGTTCATCCGTTGTATACATTACTTGGAGACGCTGGCGTGGAAGGTGAGCAAAGAGGTCGTCGACTTCCTGTACGATCGCCGGAACGATCTGATCTCTTCCCCCTACTTCGACCGGTTTACGAACCTCACCCAAGACGTGGACAAGTTCTATCGGGACATCAAGTCGAACGACATCGTGACGAACGTTCAGAAGTACACCGGTCTGGTGATACAGTTCTTGAAGGACAGGTACGTCATGTTCGTGCCGTTCGGCAAGGAACTGAAAGACGTCGTCGACGAGATCGTCACGGAGCTGAAGGAGCTGCAGAAGTTGCCCTCCATCCACTACGCTATGGAGAAAATGCAACAGCTGTTGGACAGGGCGTACTACGTCTATGACTACCTCGAGATACGCTGGAAACTGGAGGCCGTTGCTCGGCTGATTCACTCGAAGCTGATGGACATCGGCCAGTCGGCCCTGCAATCCGAGAACCAGTATCGCGAGGCTAAAACGAAGTTCATCTTCGACCCGAATCAGGGACTCATGTGCCTGGAACAGAAGCTGCCGATGTCCTGGCACGCGTTCAACCAGACCCCGGAGTTCCACGAGATTCCGGAATTCAAGGCCGTCTCAGACATCAAATCCTACTTCGCGTCATCGAACGTCACCTTCTGGAGCCTGTATCGGTACAAGCTGTACATGGAGCCTATTAATTGGCTACCACCGTTTAGAGGTGAACTCTTTTGCTTCTTCAACGGACGGCGTGCTTGCGTCTATTCTTGCACGATTTTTCGAAGGCTTCATTTATCTTCTTAATCCCTTGCCATACAATGACGAGTGAGTTCTTCATTCCCCACGAATCGAAGCAACAAGCTAGTTCGTTATTATGAACGCATTGTTTTCAAATGAAATCTTTGCTTAACGTAGAATGGAAAATTTTGTTGTTTCTCTTCCAAATTGTCAGTAGTAAAACGCTGCGCGAGCTCAGTAGCGAAAGTAAATAATACGGCAAGGGGTTAATCCTTAGTGGCTTACTTGAATCAATTATGAATTGTAGATTTCACGTGTGAAAATTGAGAAATGAGTATTCGGATAGATCTAAGCATCGCTGTTTGTTGGTAAAATCTATTATATGAATGTGTATTGACTCCAGAGGCTAGAAGATATTGAATATTCAAATATTTTGTTATCTTCCAGCTCAAGCGATGATCATTGGACCGCAAGACTTCGTCACTTTTGACGGTCGTCACGTGGTGTTCGCGAGACCTGGCACGTATTTGTTAGCCCGCGACTTTGTTCGGGATACGTTCACCATTCTTATAAAATATGACCTTCAATCGGACCAAGTTACGCACAAAATCATTATCCTGATGGGAAAGAAAGCTATCGAGCTGAATATCTTCGACGACGTTAGTACCGGTATCAACTGTTAATCAGTTGTTACCTTGTTGTTCTTTAATCTCCGACGATCCGAGTATTCAAGCCCGATTCGCAACACTGAACAATACAATTCCTTTTTTAGTCCATCAAGATCATGTCCGAGGATTCGCCAAGCACACTGACCAACCTCAAGCTTCCCATCGAACTGGAGAACGGGACCACGTACGTTTACCAAGCGGAGAACGTGATTACCGTGGAACGCAAGCAAAATCAGCTGCGACTGGAGTGCAACTTGAAGTTCGACCTATGCACCCTGGAGCTGTCCGGCTGGTACCACGGCAAGACCGCTGGAATCCTCGGAACGATGAACAACGAGCCAATGGACGACACGATCGACTCGATTTACAAGAACATCACCTACGGGGTAGAAAACCGAGGCGCAAAGCCAAAAGACGAAGACGACGAGGTCGCGCTCTTCTGCGAAGATCTGTTTGTCAACAGAAGCTCCGAGTTCTCGTCTTGTTACGACGTCGTAGGGCCCGGGGAGTACCACAGGATGTGTGAGCTAAGTAAGAGCAAACCAGAAGCCTGCACGGTGGCGTTGAGCTACATACAGATCTGCACGTTCCGCGACACGTATCTGAGGATACCGGACGCGTGTACCAGCTGCAACATGGTGAACGGCAGCGAAGTGGCGGAGGGTCAGTTCAAGAGGTTGGAAGGCGATAACGTGCCAATGTCGACCGACGTGGTATTCATCGTCGAAGGCAAAGAGTGCAATCGCGGGATCGCGCAAAACCGCAGCATGGAGCAGCTGGTCACGCAGCTGAGCAAGGAGTTCAAGGATCAAGGACTGGCGAACAGCCGGTGGTCGCTAGTCGTTTTCGGGGCGGACGGTGTTTTCGATCAGCCGAGGAGCGTCATTTTCGATGGGCAGATCTTCACGAAGAACGCAGTGCGGTTCATAGATTACTTCGACCATGTGCCGATCGGCAATGGCAACCGCGACGTCTTCGCGGCGATCGTGTTCGCCACGAAGCTCGTCTTCAGGGCTGGAGTCTCGAAGACGTTCATACTGATGCCTTGCTCGCACTGCGAGCCGGAGAACCAAACAGTAAGGCTTCCTTCCTTTCCGATAGGTCATGTTTAACCTTGCAATTTGATAAGTCTTCAGCGTGCTATATTTTATTCTGTGAACCTAATGTTCACAGTCGAGGTTGGTTCTGTTTGAGTTAACACTAGATTCACGGAACGAGTCAGGGGTTAACTGTGTATTCACTCTTGGGTCTAATAAGAGTCATGTTTCAGCTGGATTACACAGTACTCCAAGAAGCCCTACTCGAGCACGACGTCACGCTCCACATATTGATGGACGGTGACTTCGAATTCGAGAAGGAGAGGCTGAACAAGATTTTCTACGGATTGGACGCGACCAAGTCGTACACGAAGAAGGATTCCAGAACGTTGACCGGCGACGTTGATCTGAGGAGGCAGGTGAAACTCTCGAAGAATGCGTTGGGTTATTGCACTCCCTTGTCGTTGGAGATCAACGGGACTATATTCAGCGGCGACAAACTGCGTTACGACAAGCTGACCTCGGTCAAGAAGTTCGTCAGCGTGTTCTCGAAGAGGGTGGCGTTGACCGCGCTGCCGAATCCTTGCCAGAACTGCGAATGCACCGCGAACAATAACGGAGTCACGCAAATGGAGTGCATACCCTGCATTTATCCGACCTCAGTCATGGTAGATTACGTAAGTGTTCATATCTGATATTCAGTGTTAGCCCTTTGCACTCAGAAGGTGACTCTCGGTAACCACTTGGTCTAATATAGTAAAATTATAAAATTCAAAATTTACAATTTAGATTTAACGTAACGTAACTGTTCCTTAATTTATGTATTTTCTATTTCTACTGTAAAAAGTATTATCGATATTTCATAGGAAACTGATTATTTATAGTGCGACACCTTTTGTGTGCTAAGTGTTTAATTATACGAACCTCAAACGATTTACCCGATCTTTGAATCGATAAAATTATGTACGCATGAACGGTTTAAAAATGGCAACTTCTTGGTACATTGTTATTTTAGTGTCTCTTTTTTTGAATTTTATCATTGTTCTTTGTTTAGCAGGATGCATTTAATCTGAACGATTCACTGACAGCCCTACATCCGTTGAACATTGATTACGGGCAGATCGACATCGACGACAATTGAGAGTACTAACGAAGGTATATACATAGTAGACTAAGGAATGTGTATCTGAGAAATGTGTATCGACGAACGGAGCACTCACCTTTCGATGATAAGTATTTAAGAGACACATCTTCGCGCAACGTTGCGCCGCAACGTGAACTATCGTACGTGTCATGTATTGTAAGTTCAATGTAGTTAACATTACATATTTGTAAAATAGTATTCTATTCGATGTTTATTTGATAATAACACGAGAGGAATAATACGTGTACGCATAGATAAGATAGAGCCAGTCTCTTTTATTAATTAACGACGTTACGCACCTCTTCAATTTCTTTCTTTTTTTTTCTGCGAATCTCGTACAATCGACGAGACGAAATCATCGCTTCGTTAAGAGAATTTTTATCCAGATGAAAAGAAACGTAACAATATCGATGAAATTAACATAAATCCGTCGCATGTTACGAATAACTTACAATAGGAGTCGCATTTGTCATTATTTCTTTTCGTTTTTCTTTTTTATACAATTTTTGATTGGTCCTTTTCGAAGTACTAATTACCGACATTTTACAAATCGATTAAATTGTGGTGTTTTAAACGCGATGCCATTCGTTCGTTTATTACTCGGATCGTTAACAACGAATAAAATATTATGTCTCGTAACCATTATATAAGATGGCTATAAAATAATTAAGATTATTTAATATACAGACATTTTAAAGGTATTTACAACCTTTATTTCTCGTTATATACTATGGCAATGCGTAAGCATGGCAAACACTACGCCGAAGTCTCGACGCGAGATTCTCATTTTCGAACAACACGATGACCATCATTCAAGAGTATAATGTACCAGTGTAATCGATACAAAAACGAAAACATTATCATTCTATTGTAAATATTATACCTATACAAAGCAGATAATAATAATAATAATAATAATAATAATAATAATAATAATAATAATAAAAATAAAAATAAAAGTTGGAGTAAGTTTAATAGATGAAAGTTTAAAAAGGTATTCGTGTTGGGAAAGAAAAATCACCGTTCAAGTATGTACCGATAACTTACGCGTATACAGGAAACTTTGTATACAATTACATAAAAGAACAACCATACAGTCACAGTTGATTTATAAAACCTTTTTGCTTATGTGTATATATATATATATTCATATCCATATATATATATACACATAACTATTATACACAGATAATATTATCCATATATAATAATTCGAAACATACTATACAAATATAACATGAATCAGACGTAGAAATCAATTCGTGTTACATTTCTCATGTCACGGCTTGCGCCTACATCTTTGGCAAGCCGAAAGATGGCGGGAAAACATATCATGTCAATAATAATTCTGTTTATCTTAAAAAGAAATAATAATATTAATAATAATAATATAATAATATAATAATAATAATAATAATAATATTAATAAAATCTATAAAGATCGGTAGAGCCGTAAAACGTAACGAAAAATATAAGACATTCATCGATTAAAGAAAGTATGATATAAAATCATCAGGTTCAAAACAACCAAAAGCGGCCATGAATCATGTAATTGTATGATATACATGACGACCATATAACACAGAAGGAACAACTTAGCACAAAGTTATTTGTGACAAAGTTATTTGGCCACTATTACGATACCGTTATCTAGACGCATCACAAAATGGTCACCTGGTATCGTGTGCCTGTAAATGATTAGGGGCATCGGCAAACGTGAATTTTAACTTGTATGCCTCCGCGACCAATATACCTATCTCTGAGTCTGTCCAATTTTGAGTAGGCAGGTTTTGTAGCATTAACATCAGTCCCTAAGTGAAGAAAATAATGGATCATTTGTAATTTCTTTCTCTCCTGCTTTCCTTATGAAAATCTATAAAAATATATAATGCTTACTTGAAAATCAGGTTGTAAAAGTAGATGACGTCTCCAACGTAGAAGAAATGCGGCGCAAACGTACAATTGAAATGAAGCGAATCGGTCCGATTCCGCTAAGTAAGTGTCCCACAATCGAATCGTACAATGAAGAGGAATTTCTCTGGTTAGTAAATTATTCATCCATCGGAATGAGAACTGTAGATAATCTACACCATGTTTATGAAGATGCTGATGCAACGGAGCTGAAGAAAAGGGTATAAAGTGAAACTTCGAGTTACTTTTATATTTATCAACTGTTAATGCTGTCTAGGTGAAGAGAACATATTACGTACCATCTATTCTTTGAATAAGTTCCTTCAACTGGATCACTTTGTGCTGAATCCCTAATTGAGCAAAGATATAATTATCTTGAATACCGTCGAGAAATTTAGACAAGCACCAGAAGCTATCTGCTTCTATAATATCTCTCTGCTCTTTCTGTAATGACGCGACGTCATAATTTTCCAGGTCTTGCCACGCGGATACAGGAACTGCTTCTTGTAAAAATACCAGGAAAAACGGTGTCACTAGATCATTCATCCCCTAGGGAAACAACAGGTTCAATAAATAATATAGACAAAATTATTATCTTAAATATGATGTAATATCTTTGAAATAATGCAATATTACATACTTGGACATATCCAGAAGCAGGATGACGAATTGCCCATATATAGAGTATTCTTTCAAAGATTAATTGTACTGTTGTTTGTTGAAATAATGAGATGAGGGGTGACATTCTTGGAATGTCAATGTGAATTTGACGATATGTATCTTGAAATCCTTCATCTCTTTCAGTATCATAATACTGTTTTACTAAATTCCAATAATCAAGACGTTTACGTTCTAATACACTTTGCCTTCGTTCTAAATTAGCTGGCAAATATTCCTACATTAAAGGAAGCAAACCAGTTTTATATTTATAATCAAATGTTTGTGTGCAGCACAAAAATGTGGTATGTTTTACCTTTCTTACTTACAGACAATAACCTCCAAGTAACAGAACGCAGTCTTGCAGGTACACCTGACCAAGATAGTTGTCTTAATTCATCTAAATTTAATACAGATGCTTCCAAAAGGGATTGAAATTTATCTACTTTACTTTCACCATCTATAAGTATTAATAAATCAGAAACAAGGACATGCCAAGACAAATATGGCATAAAAAATTATTCCATATGCACCTTGTTCTTTAGAAGGTATAAAAAATTTGGTAGGAGCATTTGTCTGTCTTAATGGCTGAGGCCTGCCTGGGAGTGTTGGTCTATGCTGTGGGGAAGCACCATATTTTATATCTGCTTCATCTGTGGAATGTTGACTGTTATTTACTTGCGAATTCATGGACAAATTAGCATTTCGCAAATGCAAAGGTTGGACAGCTAATCTTTGAAGAGCCTCTGCCTTTTTTTCTTCAGGTATGATTTCTTGAACCCGTTGGGATGGCTTTGAATTTGTTCCAGAGTCTAAGAATGACTTCCTCGACCGATGACTGTTAATGACGCTGATAGCAGCAGAGTGACTAACTCGTTTTGATATCTTTACATCAGAAACAGTGCAGAATTCATCATCTCCTGAGTCCCATGCATCATCAATACTTTCTTGAAAGTCTTGAAAAGATGTAGATCCCCCGCTACTGCTTGACATAACTCCACTGGTGGACACTGCATTAGTTGAACTACCAGACATGAGCGTTGTAGCACCCATTTTACCATGCTTACCATCTTGTTTTGGACTTGGTCTTTTAATATGCATTTAACATATACATATATATATATAAATACATAACTGTTCAAAATTATTGTTATAAGTTAAAGTGTAACATGTGTTGTACATACCTGCCTGGTACAGCATGAGTATTTTTTTTCCAAAAGGACTGATGAGTCTGATAAGTTTGACCATGGTGGCTTTGATTTTCCATAATTATTAAAAACTATGTTAACTGGCACCTGCCACTTTTCCGAGATAATTAAAAAAGCAATACAAGTTCCTCATTCCCTTGTGAACAGTCACTGAAACAAGAATCGATACTGTTAACACTAATATTATATCCAAATGAACTTGTACCTAATGCTTCTCTGCGATTGTGATAAAAAAAGAATTACACTGACCGTATTAGAACATAAGACAAGCGATTGGAATAACAGACATTAATGAAGTTATATAACTGGGCCATTCTTCATACTCATATTTGTTTGCAATAGATAAAGGTAAACTTACAACATCAATTGTCTTTGCAGTCATCATTGATAAAAGAGCCAGCAATTCCAAATATTTACATAAGAATATATATAACGATCTTTGGTTAAAGTGCCTTTTAACTAAAAGCAAATGGCAATCGAAATTAAACGTACATCATCAACCCCACATAAGAAGGCATTCGAAAACAACTAAGAAAAAAGTGATAATATAAACTCATACACCTTGGTATCGCTTGTTATAAGTAGGTTATGTTACACGTCATATGTACCTAAATCACAATAAACAGAAAGTGAACGGGAGAAGCTACTTCCACAAAAGAAGAATATTTACGTAATAGTATAATTACGTCAACATTAAAGAAGCTACAGAAGTATTTAAATCGTTCTACAGCTTATAAGATTATAGATTATTGCATGCATAAGGCAAATAGTTTTTGTTCTTAATGCGTTCGAAATTGTGTACATTTTGGGAAAAAATAATCGTGCAACGAAGTATGCGATCAAATGATGATTGTCTTTTCAAATTTACCAAATCTAAACTTAACACGTAACGGTTAAACTTTTTGGAGTAAACCTTCACTGTTTTTGACGTATGAGAAGCTATTTACTAGTGCTGCCACCAAAGGAATGGTTAGATTAAATTTACATTACGTACTGTAATCTGCATAGGTGCCGACTTAAATTACATTTTAAAATTTATATGTTACTATGTTTCGCAAACATTTAGAATCTTCCGAAAGTATATCTCCTTGTGTAGTTACGAAAATACTTCAAATTAAACACATAAATACCTATTAAAAAGTTCATTTATCTGTTAGAACATAATGAAAAATGTTTTGTTAATAAATATAGTAGTATTTAATGCAGTTTCCCTCGAATCTAAGAAAAACTGGTTTGCAAGCTAAAGTTTCACGTCGGGGAAAGTAACTTTTCTAGAATTCAGTGATCCTCAATTATTAGAAATTTTTTTTATATTCAAAGCAATCATTAAATTGCTCGAAAATTACATTTAAAGTTCTATTTACATTTAAAGAGAAAAATTAATTTCTGCAAGAAATATAAATATTACTCATTGTAAAACAAAACTGCCATGCAAATTTTTCCTAATTACCATTCATTAAGCTAATATTGCGTCTATTTAACACCCACGGTGTAAAAACAAAACTGATACAAACTAGATCTACATTAATAGCTCTAGTTCCTGTTGCACGCATAATATACGTGCTCTAATTTATCTCTCAGTATTTACGTATCTTCGCTTTAAGGTTGTTCTTTTTCTTCATATTAGCTTTGATTAATGAAACATAAATTAACGATAGAATAATGAAATGGTTTGTCAGCAACACAAGCCTATAGGCTGAGAATCTATAATAAAAATGTGAAACGGTACAACACGTGAACAACAGTGACACTCCTTACTTGATAATTCGTCATTATTTTTAACAAGATTGTAATGTTTAATAACCTTGATTTTTTCCGACACAGTTGCAAAGAAATGCCTTTTTTATTGTTTTATTTCACTTCTATTTGAATTAAAGCGTATCAATTAGATATAATATGATGTGATTTATATGTTAGTTGTTAACCAGTATGTTGAGTATCACTGCTGACGTGAAGACGAAGTCACGTGTACACCGACGCAATTCATCCCACTCTAATCACTCCAAGTTCTATAATATTTGAGTAGTCGAAGTGGGATGGACGCATATTGTGTCTTACGATATAGTAATATTGCAAATAGGTATCTTGATGGAACATAATCCGTTCACCGTCAGTCGATAGTGTACGTTCCTGACTGTAATGTCTATCGAAACATTTTAGACTATTCTTACAATTGTTTCGCGTTAAAATATACAAACATATTATTTCGTATATTTTATTGTTAATTTTAATTGTATCATATTTGAATTTCATTATAATTTATAACATAAGGTATAAAAGAATGTAAAATTTAATATGAAATGATTTCGATAACATGACAGTGTCTCTTTAAATTTTGTTCCAATTTGACTATCGATATCACGATCTTCTTCGGAGCTAAATTCACTGTAGTATTACTTAGAAACGCATGCGCATTGATCAACGAATTAATGGTGAGTAATTTTTTTAGAACGTCAACTTTTCATATTTGTTTGTAAACAATTCGTCGTCTAATTAATCAATAGTTTAAGTCAATTAAAATTTTTACTATGTTTCTATTGTAGATGGTAAGATCTATCACGTTACTTTCCTATAATTTGATTATACGTTCTTCATAACAGTTTAGACAACTTCTAAATTCTTTTTACTGTACATTTGATTTTCCATTGTTTATTATTATAACCATACAGGAGTAAGGTTTGTTTTTATATTTCATGTTTATATTTTGTTTGTATTTGATAACATTTGTAACAACAACGATGGGGATAAAATATTCATTAATTTATTCAATGTGTTTCGCAGTTACTTGTTTTATAATTAATAAGTGAATGTTGCACATTATTTATGTATAGAATGGTAGTAAAATAAAAAAGGGGGTACATTGATCCAATTTAAAATTAATTAAAGACGGGATTATATCTGGAAACTGCATAGATATGTTGAATTTTTTATTGCAATTTTTGTTTGTTACTTTTTATTTATTATTATTATAAACCTACTTATCTGTTGCATAATTTTTATTGTTAATTAAAAGTGTTTGAACTTAATACACTTACTTAAATTTATCTTACAGTAGATGTAGTAAGTTCATTAACTAATTAAAAGTAAAAGAAATTAGATTTTAAATTTTATAAGTCTCATGTGAAATGTGTTCTCATTTCAAGACTAGAGAAGTAATGACCTAAAACTGAAGGAGCACACTTGAGAAATCTGTGTTGAAGAATAACTTTCACCTATAGTGGTTAAACATTTTTGTGAATAAAAGAATGAAATTAAAAAAATGTATAAAATACTTTAAAAACACTGTTATCATATAAGATAATATTTTATTTGAATGTGTATATGTTATATATAACTAAAACATCAGCGCACTAAAAGACTACAGTGTTACTTTTTCAAACATAGCTGAACATTCATTCAAGATGTCAGACATTGAAGAAGACGAGGTATGCGCATAAATGCATAACAAATAAAAATATTAATATCTATATTATTTATGTTTATATTAAATTTTAAATTTGTTCATATCTTAGTTTCAAGATGCCCAGGAGTCCATACCAGAGTAAGTGCCTATAGTTATTTTACATGTATAAGTACTTACATATACAGACATATTTATTTGTATAAAAATTATTATTATATTTTTATAGACCTATTTCCATGGATTTGGATACAGCAATAATGGAAGCAAAGAAAGCTATACATTGGTTTTTCAATAATGAGTTTGAAGAAGCAAGAAAAATTATGCTATCATGGGCAAACAGCAGTATATACCACTCCTTAGGGACATGTGTTTTTGCATTCCTTGAGGCCGTTATTACATTTGAACAAGTATTACATCATAATAAACTGAAATATATAGAAAGTATTTTGTCTAATAATATATTACAATATATATTGCTTAGCCATACATTAAAAAGGCATCTGCAGCTGTGAAGCAGTGCACGAGCTTATGTTCAAAGCAACGTAAATGTGTCACATTAACACAAAATATTGGTAAAATGGTTAAGAAGGCAAATTATGATGCTTATACACTTGGTAAGTATATATGGATAGGTATACTGATACAATATGTGTTTGAATGGCAAAAATTTCTTCTTTACTAGATTGTAAATTAGCAACTTGTCTAATGTCTTACAAATTTCACGTCTCCATGATATCAGCAATTTATAACAGAATTATTTTCATTTTGTAATAACATTAATTATATGAACAAGCTCAAAACTTAAGGCATGAAAGAATGACATAGACTTAATATTACAGAGGAAGTGCATGCAGAACTCTGTTATGCAGAGTCACTCCTTTTTAAATCAATACTTACATTTGTGGAAGATGAGACTTTGGTCAGCTTTGTCAAAGCTGGATTGAAAATTCGTTCCTGCTTTCTGTCGTATAAGTAAATAAACCAAATTGATTTCACGAATTTCAAATTTTTATTGAAAATTTATACATAGTTTCATGTATGTCATCTTTTGTTTCAGGGAATGTTTAACAATTTTGAATAATCGTAAGTGGGAAAATGAAGTTCATAGAATTCATTTTGAAAGTGGCGTTCGCACAGGAATTGGAGCATTTAATTTGGTACATACTATTGCCTCTGTTGGATAAAGTTACGTAAGTAGTATGATACCATAACAAGTTCTTGATATTTTTTAGATGATCTCATTGTTACCAGCAAGAATTATCAAACTACTAGAGTTTATAGGCTTTTCAGGTGATAAGGTAGGAATAATAAAACAGTATTTTTAATAGAAATATGTCCATACTATAGCGCATATAATAATAATTTGATATCTCTTTCATTAATAGGAATATGGTTTATCAGAATTAGAAGCAGGATATAGGGAAAAAAGAGGATTACGGCACATTTTATGTGCAATGATTCTCTTATTTTACAATTTGATGATATCTTTTATTCTAAGTAACACGGATGGTGACCTAGAATGGTGTGAAAGAGTATTAGAGGAGGAATTAAGCCATCATCCAAACAGTGTATGGTTTTTGTTTTTTAAAGGAAGATTAGAGTTAACAAGAGGAAATTTTGAAAATGCAATAGAATGGTATACAAAATCTTGGAAGAGCCAAGACTTATGGCCTCGATTTCATCTTGTTTGTTTTTGGGAATTAATGTGGGTCCATTGTGCTCTGCAACAATGGGAAGAAGCTGCTACGTTTGCTTACATTTTAGTCAAAGAATCAAAGTGGACCTGTACTGTTTCTTTATACCAGCAAGCAGCGATACTTCTTATGGAGAAACCACCGCCAAAAAGTGAGAAAAAACAGTGTATTGACTTCATGATGATGCAAGCGCCTACGTTTAAACAACGTATAGCAGGAAAGTCGTTGCCAATAGAAAAGTTTGTTATTAAAAAGACAGAACGTTATTTTGCTCAAAAAGATAAATTAGTTCTTCCTGTATTTGAACTTATGTACGTGTGGAACTTATTCCGAATTATCGGCAAACGGCAAGATTTAACATTAAATATATTTAAACAGATCGAAGAAAGTGAAAGAGAACTTATGAGTGGCCCGTGAGTTTTTTTTTCATTAATTACATAATGAATATTAAGCGCACGCTATTGAATGTCATCATTAACAGTTTTAATTTTCTGTAGTAAAAGTGAGTTTCATGGAGATAATGAAGCTCTTCTGCTGCTTCTAAAAGGTGCCTGTTTACGGCAATTAAAGCGTCCTTTATTAGCTGAGGATTGTTTAACTCGTGTCCTTAGCTTAGATAAATCAATTAAGGAAGATACTTACATACTTCCTTTTGCAACAGTGGAATTAGCTTTATTAGCAAAAGACCAAGGAAATATTCCACTTGCTATTGAGTTTCTGAAAGATGCTAAGTAAGTTGCATTTTCCTTTTCAATTAAATGTTTTTTCTCAAATATTGCCCTTGATTAATTCACGATTAACTGAGATTATTTGATACTATTACAGAAACAATTATACTGGATATCTTCTTGAAACCAGACTGCATTTTAGGATTCACTCTGACTTAATGAACTTGACAGGAAAGAAGGTTGAAGATGTTGCAGTATAATGATATCTAAAAGATGATTAATTTTTTTTTTTAATGTTGATNNAGACATACTATTGCAGGTTTAAGCACTGACAATTTTCTTGATTATTCACTTTTATGAAAGCTATTGTTATGTAGTTTTTAATTTCTTTGTTTTAGATTCATTAATTTATTTTAATATTTTATCTTTCTGTCATGTAGTATACTTTTTTTGTTAGTTTTTATATGTAAAGTATTATTGCTAGAGATTGACATTTATTAACTGTTACGCATATACCTACGGCACACACCACATATAGTTTGAAAGGTCTAAAAAAGATATAGGAATAATTATTTTTTAAATTTAAATTATTTTTACTACAAAAAGTATTAATAAATATTTGTAAACATCAATTTAAGTGATGTCAGCGGAAATCTAATATAAGTGTCATGTATGTGTACACCTGAATGCACATATTGACACACATGTTGTATTTATACTGTTTAATAAATTGTAAATCAAATGAAACACTGGGAGAAAACGGGAAACGGGAATAAACGGATGATTTATTAATAAGTTTACCAATTCAAATTATTTTGTGATGTCTAAAGGTAAGACTTTGAAGAAAAAATAGCAGAGATAAGGTAGTTTAGTTTTTTAATACAGATTATGAAAATAATTGTTAAATAAGAATTCGTTTTCCTCCATGAGGAGCATGCCATTAATACAAATGCAAAAATCTAAATAATTTGAGATAAGATTAAATTGACTGCATAATTTTTAACATATTAAACTGTTAAGTCGTTTTTAATCATTAGTATAGATTATGAGATATATTAGACATAAACATTGAACTAAGTTTCAATTACATGTTTGTAACAAGTAAATTACACTACATGTATTACGGTAAATGCAAGTTTTCAAAATAAGACTGGCGATAGAGTGATCTATTGATATGTAAAAAATATTCAAATGTAATTTGGAAATTGTATTGAATAAGGACAGTAATTGTTTTGTAATGATAAATGTATCATTTATTTCGAACATAACGTTCTCACCAGTGACGCCATTGAATAAATCGAACCAGCTTTGCTTATTGGAGTACATACTATACAAAAGTTACTAGATTTCTATACATACTTATTAAAATACATTTGAAGTAATTAATTTTTCGGTTGTAAATAAAACTATTGTAAGAAAACCCTTGTAACTAAATATAGGAAATTTGAAAAACAAGTTATTACATGTTTACCTTTTTTTTCTTATATGTAATGTATAAATTATTTAGATCCACAAAGACTGCGTTTCAGTAGGTATGGTCTAACGTAAATTTAATTCAAATTTATCAACAATATGTTTAATTTTTTTATGAAGTAATTGAAGTTCAGATGAAGTTACAGAAAGTATAGTATATATTTGGTAGTATTAAAAAGAAGAATATCCGGATTCGTACACGTTGGTTTAACCTTCTTTGTCGTTTTTATTAAACCGGCTTTGTTGAATTGTAACGTTCACAAAGCGAAAATAATTATATACTCACTTCAATTCATTGTTACTTTCATGTGCTGTACAGAATAACTATAATTTATATATCTTTACATGCTTATTTTATCAAAATTTATAGTTTTAATAATTCGATGTAGGTAACCTTTAATGTCTTTTAGTTATACTTAATACTATTTATCGCAATGTGCTTCGTCGTTTTTTAACTCTGATTCAGCTATTTTGATTGCAGAAAATTTAATTTAAGAAAGGAGGATACTGTAATGTAAGAGTCTTCAATCAAAAAATTAGTGTTACAATAAGTACTTCATAGGGATATGCGTACAGGTAAATAAATAATTTATTAGTAACAGCATAGGTAGATCAGTGTGTTAATTAAATATTTGATTGATAACAGGTGCAAAGTAAAAACATAGAAGATTGTTATAATGAGTGCAATGGGATGTGATGTACAAGGGTCTCTGAGAGAGGCCTTGTACGAAACATTGACTGGAATTTTGTCTCCTCACCACGATACTCGTCAAGCAGCAGAACAGAGGATTCAAGCTTTAGAAGTTACAGAAGAATTTGGTATTCATTTAACAGAATTTGTGGTAGATCAAAATGGACATTTACCTATTAGGCAACTTGCTTCAGTATTGTTAAAGCAATATGTAGAAACACATTGGTGTTCAGTTGCTGAAAAATTTAGGCCACCAGAAATAAAGCATACTACAAAAGAAAGAATTAAAGAATTATTACCACTAGCACTTAGAGAATCTATTAGTAAAGTAAGTAGTCATAAAGAATTTTTATTTATCGATAATATATGTATGCAGTAATAGTTACATTATTTACATGTATTTATTTCAGGTACGTACAGCTGTAGCATATGCAATATCTGCCATTGCTCATTGGGATTGGCCAGAAAATTGGCCAGGTTTATTTGATATACTTGTCAGTTGTTTAAGTGGTGAAAGTGAATATGCTGTGCATGGAGCAATGAGAGTTTTAACAGAATTCACTTCTGACCTTAGCGATACTCAGTTGCCAAATGTGGGACCAGTTATCCTTCAAGAAATGTATAGAATATTTCAAAGTGAAAATGTATGTTCTCCCCACTATGAAATGTTATCATTATAATCATATGGATTCAATTTTCAGCAATACTCTATTCGAATTCGTGGACGTGCAGTTGAAATATTCACTACAATTACATCATTGGTAGCTGCTACAGAACTTTATCAAAAGGGATTTACAGAGCAATATTTGCAACCAGTTATTCCCATGTTTTGTGAAAAATTTGTTCAATGTTTACAAGTGCCTGATGGCCCAACCAGTGATAGTGGGCTTAAAACTAATATTATCAAAGCTATAAATTGTCTTGTAACTAAATTACCTAAATATGTATCGAACTTTTTACCACAAATGCTACCACCTGTGTGGAAAACTTTAACTCAAAGCGCAAAAATTTATCAGGAAGGAACTGTAAATGGAGAAAGAGAGGAAAACGATAAAGAAGTTGATTCTGATGGTGATTCTCTATAAAACACTTTATTTGAACTTCTGGTTTTGAAAGTTTTGAGTAATTTTAAATGTTTCTTCTCGTTTATAGGTGAAGTAATTAACTTTAATAATTTGATTATTGCGATATTCGAATTTGTCAGTTCCATTCTGGACCGCAAACGATTCTCAAATCTTTTGGATAATTTGTTGCAAGATGTTATGTATTATTTGATTATTTTTATGCAAATAACCGAGGATCAGATCGAATTATGGTCTTCAAGTCCTAATCAGTTTGTAGAAGAAGAAGATGTGTCCTACAATGTCCGTATTTCTGCTCAAGAGCTTCTAACAGTAAGTTTCCTGAACAAATCTTTCAATTTTTTCAGGACAATTCATTTTTTATATCTTATATTAATTTTCAATGCAGGCTCTTGTAAATTATTCTGCAGAGAAGGCAGTGAATGCTCTTTGTAAAGTAGTTACACGCCACATTGAAGCAACAAGTAGACTACAGAACGGTGCCGGAGAAAATAATGATTCCTGGTGGAAGATACGTGAATCTTCTATTTTAGCTTTATGTAAAGTCAAATCCGCTGTCGTAGAGAAATATACTTCTGGAATGCTTCAGTTCGATATGATACAGTTTTTAGCAACAGTTGTGTTAGCTACTCTCAACGATTCAGGTATATTGTATTTTTGTTTTCTTCTCATCTTTCAACGACTAGATTCTATATTTACATGTAACATAGGAGCTCCACCATTACTTCTTGGCCGTTGTTTATGCGTCGGCGGGAAATATGCCGAAATAATGCCATCAGCGTTGAGTTCACAATTCTTGGAAGCAACGGTTAATGGTTTGCAAGAAAATCAGCCAGCTTGCATTCGTATCAGCGCAGTGAAATCCATTTATTGGTTTTGTGAGGCATCAACCACGGAAACCAGTGGAGCTCTTGTTAACAATATACGGTCTCATTTACCTAAAATATTCCAAGGACTTTTCAATTTAGCCAGTCAGCCGTCCACAGAAGTTCTGACCTTAGTCATAGAAACCTTCCAAGTGGTGGTTGAGGTAATATATTTTTTGCTACTTGCTTTAAGTGTTACCATTTCAAATTAATTTATGTTTCTGTTTTTAACTTTCACAGCTGGATAAAGCATTCACCGCTTCAGTGGAAAATAAAATATGTCCACTAACAATTGCCGTGTTCTTGAAGTTTTATACCGATCCAACTATATTTTGTCTGTGCCAAGACATATTCAAAAGTCTCACGCAAAATCCACTTTGCATAGGTCCATTACAGACTCGTCTGATACCCACATTGACAAGCATGATGGCTGTAACGTCTATGGACAAATCGAAAGATGGTAAACTGTTGTTGATTCTTGAGTATTATCTACCCTTGAGCAAATTTTAATAAATGTTTTTCTTCTTTACTTTCAGAGGGGTGCCGAGATGTAGCTTTAGATGTGCTACAGGTATTAGTTCAGTACTCTCCAACACCTTTAAGCAGTGCGCTGGTCGAGACTGCTTTCCCTGCTGCGTGCCACTGTATACTTAATTCAGAAGAAAACGAAACGTTGCAAAGCGGGAGCGAAGTGATACGCACCTACTTGTCCGTTGCAGCGCAACAAGTCACAGTTCATCGCGACAGTGATGGTCAAACCGGCCTGCAGTACATATTGCAGATAGTTGCACAGCTTCTGAACCCACAGGTGGTTTATTCCTTTTAGGTTTTCTTAACATGACCGTTATTAGCATTTAACGTAGAAATCATTCGCGAAATAACGGCCTAAATTTCCGACACGTTCGATACAAGTTTTAATAACATTTTCTTAAAGAACGCAATTTTTAACTTGCTCTGCTTTTCAGTCGAGTGAGTTCACTGCCACTTTCGTTGGTCGACTGGTGACAACGTTGATTAGGAAAGCAGGTGACAAGCTAGGCGAGAATCTAGACCTTCTGCTGAAGGCTGTGTTGAGTAAAATGCAAAGGGCGGAAACGTTAATTGTGGTACAGAGTTTGCTCATGATATACGCCCACCTGATAAACACGGAATTCGACGCCGTCCTAAACTTCCTATCTACCGTGCCCGGTCCAACAGGACAGAGCGCGCTCGCGTTCGTGCTCACCGAGTGGGTCAGCAGACAGCACCTGTTCTTCGGCAGGTACGAGCGTAAGGTGGCCACGATCGCACTGTGCAAGATACTCGAGTACGGCGTTACTCATGATGATAGTCGGCTGAATCAAATCACCGTCAAGGGCGATCAAATATTTTCAGGTTCGTAGACTCAAAGGTGCTAATCGTGTATCGAACGCCATATCAACATCTATTACATTGTTTCCGAATTATTGAGTTCTTAACCCTTTGTCACTAGAAACATTTAACATTTTTCGACGAGACAAAGACAATATTCTTTGAAACTAACTTGAACAGAAATCACAAGTACGTTGAGGAACAAAGCTATTTTATTCCAATATTTCACGCATCGAGGCGTTATACAGAGTTAAATATTAAATATCAGACTTTATAGTTTTATTACGTCAAATCAAGCGATTGAGAGCCGCCTTCTCAGTGCAAAGGGTTAATTAAATCCGAGACTTTATACAGGAAATGAGGTGGGTGTAAGGACTAGGAGTAAAACCGAATCACAGCCTTATCAGTGGACCACGATACCGGTACTGGTTAAGATTTTCAAACTGATCATTAACGAACTGTCGAACGATATGGAAGCAGTCACTGCGAATCAAGAGTCGGACGTTAGTAACAATTAAATATCTATTTAACACGTTGAATGCCGTGAGGGTCACCGGTGACCCCCAACCAGACCGAATGACTACAGTTCACTCAATTAGACGATGATTGTAAACATTTCTATATTATTAATACTACTATCTAATGCGGTGACATTCAGTTTGACGAATATGCAGTAGTAATGCAATGCAATCGAATGATTTAATATTATATTTTTCCCATTTCGTGTATTTTGCTCTATGGAATCGTGCGGCGTTCAGCGTGTTAACAGTGATTGGCAAACAAAAGTTACAGATAGTAAATAGATATGTTTGCCTATTAGGAATCTGACGATGACGACGAGGGTGACGATAACAATACCTTCCTAGATCCAGGCTACGAGACCATGTTACGTAAGTATAATTTCTTATTCTCATTGGTTCTCTATTCGTAGTATATCAAATGTGTCCGATCAGTGTTAGAGGAAGTTTCGAACGAAGCGGAGGAAGGCGAGGAAGATCCAGAATTACTGGAAGACTCGATCTACCACCTGAACCTTGGTCAATACCTGCGGGACTTCTTACTCAACTTCTCATCTCATCATTGCTTTCCTGCTTACGTTCAGCACTTAAACATTCCGGAACGGAAAGTGTTGAGCAGTTTAAATGTTAACGCATCGTTTATGTAATGAGTAGATAGATATATCGATAATCAGATTTTTGATTTTCGTAATAAAACACGTAATGTTTTTTGTACGACTATTTCTTTCCACTATGTTTATAAGCTGCTCTCTCTCCTACCGCACAGTGATACTTGTGTAAGAGTGTATACAAATAAATCAATTCGAAGCTCTACCAACTTTCGGTTAACTTCAACATACAATTGACGTCCGACGCTTCCACTTTAGCAAGTGGTTCATATAAATAGTGATGACTACGGTCTTGATTGCTAGGATTCGAACTGAGGACAAGGGATGCTACCGAAGATCATCGTTATCATACCGTTCCACGAGTCAATACATCATGGACGATCGGTATATATAATCATTTCGAGATCTTATATCAGCGGAAGGTTATCGAAAGTCCAACGAAAGACATATTGACTTATGGTAAGAAAGAAGTCTGTTTCATTGTCACACGTTCCGCCACAATCATTTGAAATCTAACCGTTGTACACCTTCTGTATACTTTAATGTTTTAATTTAACCGTCCAAATTGTTTAATACATTCCCTAGCAGCACAAATCTGTGACGGCCGTAATCCCATATTTTACAGAATGAAAATGAAATGAATCCTATAGGTACTGTTGTTAGAAATTACAAACTACATTACGTTTAGCAACTCGGTGACTCGTTTCAGATTCATTTTTCTAATATTTTGTTTACCTTTATTGGATTGAAGAAAATATAATTGAGGAGACCGTCACCGATATATTATCTTTTTCGGACTTTAGATACCTATCGATAATCCCTAAGAATTTTAATCGTTTGCGGACGAATGTCGACATTTTGTCGAGACCAAGCTTCCGCGTGTGGAACACCAAGATACAAGTGATTTAACTATTCAAACAGCAAGAAATCGGTACATAGTTTCCTTATTCTCTATGATTTAATCATTCAGTGTCTAATCTAGCAGCATTTACGAAAGGTTCTGTATAGTTTAAACATTCTTCGTCCGTAAAGGGTTAACCCTTTGAACTCTGGTCCAATATTGCACCAGTTACGATATTGAATATTTTAATGAATCAAAGGAACTACCCTAAAATTATTCGATTTTCCACACATCCAAATTTTGTACTGAGAAGGAAAATAAAAGATCGAAGGAATGTTATAGCATTTTTCATTTTCACTAGAGATACTATAAAAATTATTTGCAGTTGCTGACAGATTACAATACCATCTTCAGTGCTAAGGGTTAATATTTACAGCGGCACATACTGGCAACGTGACAAGTCAAAGGTACACACTTTCCTCGGTAAAAGTTCCCAGACGAAACGATCCATCAGTTAATTCCTGTTCCGCATCGAGTGTAGCTCCGAACACGTATTCGCAGTGTTTACTGGACACGGTGCACGCGTGAGAGTACAGGAAAGCACAGGTGAAGCATATACACGGGGGAGTTCTTCCGCTTTTAGCAATCGTAAAGCGCAGGTGCAGCTCGTTGCACAATGAACAATGCACGGAACGCCTCGCACGATTGCCGCTCTCGTAACGGTCGAAGTCGACAAATTTTATACGACTCCAAAAAAAAGAAGAAAAGGAAAGAAGAGGGTGTGGAGGTAGTAAAAAATAAGCAAGCTTGTTAAAAGACGTCAAACGCGTTACATTGGCAAGCGTGAAACAATCCTTTAATCGTCTTGAACCCGTGACACCTCTTTTCGTAATTCGTACTTTTGATTCGGAAAGTTTCTTTGAAAATTGTTCATCATTAGTAATGTTTTAAAACTATTGCCATATCGACTTGTATAATATTGCTGAACACTTTCTGATAAACAGGACTCACCGAAGCAAGTTTCGTCGAATCGGTAAACTGAAATAAAGATCATCTAAGTCTTAATCCTTTAACCCCTTGCACTCGAGAGGTGATTCTCAGTCACCACTTGATTTGACACAGCAAAATGGAAGTGGAATATTTAGTGTTGTAAATTAAACTTTGTATTACTATGTGACATATTCAACTAAAATAGCTTTGTTGCTTAAAATTTCTGTCATGAATATTGTATATTGTGAATATTTCTAGAGAAAGACTTTCGAGTGCAAATGGTTGTGTTCTCGCGTTTTCACTGTGAAGTTTCCATCGACGTCGTTTAATTCAACTATGAATTAGTATGGGACTTTAGTCATTATATAAATAGTACTTCTGTACGACATAATTGCAGTATGGACAATTAGTGTAAGTAATAAAATACAGTACAATTGAACAAAATTTTAACGCCTAGTTTGACTGTATATGGCGACGAAAAGGGTTGAAGGATCAAGCACCCCAATTTCCACTTGATATCATCAATAACATTTCATACAACGAATCCTTATTTTTTTAATTCTTTCTTTATACTTGCACAATATATAATTCTTAAGCTCATGAATCTTGTACAATATACAATCCTTAGTCCTCATGAAAAACATACAAACATTTCAACCGTTTGGATGCCGAACAACTTTTGTGGACATTCACCAAAAATGCGGAAGTGATGTGCATGCAAAAAAATTAATAAGAGTACTTATCTAATGAGATCACGAATATTGTGTTATTCCAAAAAAATATCAAAAAATCACGTTTATTCAAATAAATTTACTTTGATTTATTTCTGGAAAAACATAGTAAGGAAATTATAATCGACACTGATAAACAGAAGCGCCTCCGCGCTCTCCGCAATTTTGCGCTCCTTAGCACTCAAACGGTTAAAACAAAGGCTAGAAATTGTCTAGAACAGCATCCCCACTGATTAAACTACGAGCCGCCACCGAGCGATCCAGCAAAACGTAAACAAAATTAAAGAACGCGTCGCGGCGCCAGCGAGTGGAAACAGTTTCGCGCGGTTCCTATTTGTCGTGGTCCCGGTCGCATAAATATTCAACGCCACGGGTTGCTGAACCCCCGGCTAATTGCAATGCGTTGACGGCTAGGACACGGCGTATATTAAATTGCGCGGGACAATCACGAGACATTTGAATACTAATCGTCGCGTACGTACGAGTCGGTTCGGGCGCGGGAATTCGAAATCGGCCGGGCAGGACCGGAGTTCCGAGCGCGGCGTTCCGGGGAGCGGAAGAAGTTAAAAAAAGACAAAAAAGAGAGAGAGAGCGAGGAATAAAAGGAAAGGGCGGGCAGGGACACGGGACGGCGAGCGTCGTTTCCCATGAAGCCGTCGAAGCGCGGACGAGGAACCGATCGCGCGTGCAAAGTTTAAATTTCGTGAACTCGATAGCTCGATACCGGGAACACGTGCATCGCCGGCCACGTGGACCATATGGTTCACGTGCCCCCAGCATGGAAGTAATGGGTCACGGTTACACGAAAGAAGACCCAGCTGAACGACGGACACGGACGGCACGCACTTCTCGTCATCGATTCGGTTACGGCCGAGCGCAGGGTGGCCCGCGCGATTAGCGGACGCGACCGTGGCGAATTCGATTTCGCGCGCGGAAACTGACCGGCGATTCAATGGAAGCTTCCACGATCGACGGCTGATCGTGAAACTGTCGATGACGAGACGTTATTTGCGATACGCGCGGTGGAGGGAAGCGAACGATTTGGATAACCGAGATAAGGCCATTTCGACGCGACCAAAATTTCGCGTTGCGACGCTAACAGAAGTTTGTACAGTTCTGTAGATGAGTGCTCGAGTACCGAGCTACCTAAGTATATGAGTACCTAAGTATCTAAGCAACAACAAAGTACCTACGTTCCTAAGCACCTAGGTACCTAGTTAGGTACCTAATTTCAAAAATATTGGAATGCTGTTCTTTGCTGCACCATCTGCTGTTAAGTGCTCGAGTACTGAGGTACCTAAGTATCTAAGAAACAACAAAGTAGCCTGCCTGAGTTATAAAACACCTAGGTACTTAATTCGGTACCTAATTTCAAAATATTGAAATGCTATACCTTTTGGTGAACCATTTGCTGCTAAGTGCTCGAGTACTGAGGTACCTAAGTATATGAGTACCTAAGTATCTAAGCAACAACAAAGTAGCGTGCCTGAGTTCTAAGACACCTAGGTACTTAATTCGGTACCTAATTTCAAAATATTGAAATGCTATACTCCTTTGCTGAACCATCTACAGCTGAGTACTCGCGTACTGGAGCACCTAAGTATCCAAGCAACAACAAAGTACCTACGTGCCTAGGCACCTAGGTACCTAACTAGGTACTCAGCTTCAAAAAAACATTGAAACGCTATAGTTCTTCGTTGAACCATCGTTTCCATGAAACAAGGCAGACATCCTCGAAACCTTTCCAGGTCGACGGAGACACGTGCCCGTCGACGGTTCGATGATCCGGAAGTAATCGCCGGAGGAAACGTCTTCGAAGGATTCCCTCAACCGTTTCCCGTCTCGACGCTGGACGCTTCGAAAAGCGCGCGATGGAAATGTCGCGTCGGTTAGCCCGCGGGAATGTTGTCAACGGTTTACGATGCGACCAGCGAGGAAAGCGGCGAGAGGAACGAAACGAGTGGCTAGTTTTCACGCGGCTGATACGAGGGGAAAGGCTCTAGTAAGGCAGCTCGTTCACGGGACATAAAGTTCACGCGTGAAACCTGCTCCGCGTGGATGGGACGGTTTGCGCGTCTCCGCAGGTGTCTCCTGCGAACGGGAGAACGGGCCGCGCGATTTCCTCGACCCGTGACCGGCCACGGTTTTATGGTGAACCGGCGCGTTCGCCGGCGAGGGTGACGCGAAATTTAGTTAACGCCGCAGTTAACGGCCGCGTAATTGCGCGCGGACGGTGAAGAACATTAACCGGTTTCTCGCTGAACGAATGTGTTCTGGCGACTGACCTCATTGCGCACATTGGTCACATTGTGTAAAAGATCGGACTTTCTTTGGATCTGCGTTTGAGCTCATTGCGCAGGTTTTCGGTTTTATGCAATTGCACCGTGCAAAAGATTGAAGTTTTCTTTGGAACTGCATTTGATCTCATTGCGGAGATTTTTGGTTTTATGCAATTGCACCGTGCAAAAGATTGAAGTTTCCTTTGGAACTGCATTTTATGTCATTGCGCAAGTTTGCGGTTTTAAGCAATTGCACTGT